ACTACCAGCCACCACATCATCAACAACCAACTAACAACAAACAACAACAACAACAGCAACAGCAACAACAACATCAACAGCAACAACCAGCAGCAGCAACAACCAACAACAACAACAACAACACCACCAACAACAACAACAACAACAACAACAACAACAACAACAACAACAACAACAACAACAACAACAACAACAACAACAACCACAACCACAACAACAACAACAACAAGACACACACGCGCACACGTACGGCTGCAAACTAACCGTCATCCTCACTGTCATCATCATCATCATCATCGTCGTCGTCGTCGTCTTCGCTGTCATCATCACCCTCACTGTCGGCGGTTCCATTGGCAGCAACAGGGGACGCCGATTCCCCCTGTGTCTCGGAATCAGCCTCGCTGTCATCCTCATCCTCATCGTCCTCATCATCGTCATCGTCGTTGTCTTCGGCTTCACCCTCGTCAGCGTCTTCCTCCTCCTCCTCAACTGCTTCATCCTCTTCGTTGTTGTCTTCCGCCTCGCTGTCAACCTCACCCTCATCCTCATCCTCGTCTTCTTCTTCGTCCATCACCTTTGCTGCCGCTTCCTCCTCTTCCTTCTTCTTCCGTGCTGCTTCCTCTGCTTCCTTCTTCTTCTTCTCCTCTGCTTCCTTCTTCTTCCTTGCTGCCTCTTCCCTCTTCTCCTTCTTCTTCTTCTTCTCTTCCGCATCACTCTTCTTTGCTGCTGCGGTTGCCGTCGTTGTTGTTGCTGTCTTCTTCTTCTTCGGTGACGTAGGCGTCACAGCAGCTGCTGCCTCAGCCTTCTTGGCGTCTGCCCCGGGTCATATGGATTTTGCATTATGTGGCGGTGTGGCGTGGTTGGAAAACAGTGGTGAGTACAGGGGATGCTTGTGTGAGCACAAGACGACATTCATGGCACTCGAGTGCAAGCGTGGCTATGAAACAACATCCTACCACACACGCACGCACACGCACACACGTGCATACACACGCGCGCACACAACCGACTCCTGCCACCTTTGCGTTTTGAGCCCTTGCCATCCGTGTCCTTGCTGGAGGACGTCGAGGGTGTGGGCGCCTGGGATGCGGCTGTCACGCACACATGGAATGAAAGGGTTCAAGGTGGTGAATGAGAGAGCGGACACCACGACATGCTGATGGTTGCTAATCAATCTGTTGTCTTTTCGCTTCCGCGCTCTTTCCTTCCAAAATTGTGAGCCGCTTCTCTTTGCGCATGTTCACTTACGTTTCACCCGCGTGGTCGTCGTGGTAGTCGTAGTGGTGGAAGGCTTGTCCTTGGATGCCCTCTTTGGGGATGCTGGAGCCTTGACAGCGGTGCTCGACGCAGCACTTGCTGTCGCTGTTGTTGCTGTCGTTGTCTTGGCCTTCTTGCTCGCACTCGTGGTGCTGCTGGCGCCTGCGGAATTGTGTGTGTGTGTGTGTGTGTGTGTGTGTGTGTGTGTGTGTGTGTGTGTGTGTGTGTGTGTGTGTGTGAACGTTGGGTGGGATTGAGGTGTTACGTGGAAATGCGGGCAGTGTCACGCACGGAGCAGTTCCTTCAACATCAACTGCACTTACTTGCGCGCTTGTGTGTGTCAGCACCTGATTTTGACGGTGGGGCAAGGCACGCGAAAGGTAGGTGAGCACGCGCGGTTGTTCCGTGACACAAGCAAGAGACACAACAACACGCCTGCCCAAGGCAGCTGAGTACATAAGACACAACAACACGCCTGACAGCGCAACACGTCCACGAGCACACCAGCCGCACCTTTCTTGGTCAGAGCGCGCAGGACGCCGTTGTGTTCACAGACATCGCCGATTGTGAGCTTGAGGCTCACGTAGTATCCATCCTCGTCTGTGAACGAGACAAACCGCTCAGGCATGGGCTCTCTGTCGCATGACCAGGTCGAACGAAAAGGAGTGTGTTGGTGAGAATGCTAGAGAGATGAGGAAGGAGGCGGGGGATGGAGGGAGAATCAGGAGGCACGAGCACCATGATCCGTGCGATCGCCTGCACAGGTGTGACGCGCACGCATGGGCACCACACAATGATGATCGTACTCGAAGATGTCCTGGTAGAACTGGGCCATGTGCTTGGCGACAGTCGTCAGCCGCTCCGTGGGCTTGGCCGGGAACTGAAGGTATGAAGACGAGTGGGAAGTTGTGTGTGTGTGTGAACTTGTACGTTTACTCACAGTGACGTCCTTCCAGTCCAGTATGCACGCACACGGACGCACACATACACGCACACACACACACACGCACGCACACACCCAACCGAGACATGGCGTCATTCGCACCTTGAACTTCTTGCGGCAGACGTGGACGCGAATGAGCATGTTCTCTGTGCGCTTCCTGCGCTTGGGCTTGCCATCCGCATCCAGAGCAGGCGAGGCGCTTGCAGCAGGCTTCGGTGCAGGCTTCGACGCAGGCTTATCTGCCTTGTCTGCCTTGTCTGCCTTGTCTGCCTTGTCTGCTGCGGATGGCGTCTTCTTCGGTGGCATGGTTGGTGCTGGTGGTGTGTTGGTGTGTGTGTGTAAGCGCCCGGAGCCTCGAAAGTGCGATCTGGCTTCAAGGATGACCTGGAGAGAGAGAGAGAGAGAAGAGGGGCTTTAGTTGGGAGTGTGGGTGCTCAACCTCACATGGGACAAAGGAGACAGAGAAACACACGTGCAGGCAGTAGTGACCTGACCTTGTTGCGATGCTGCTATGATCTGAGGTGCGTGGGTCACTGGATGTGTTGGGAGATGCGACCTCGAGCGAAAAGGAAAAGTTTTTGAAATGAAAAGTGTTGACTACATACATGAAATACGAGTGTGACTGAATTCAGTTGCTCTTGTGCCATGTGGATACACAGCACACAACACAACACACACACACACACTCACTCACTCACTCACTCACTCAACATGTCCAACACGCCTTACAGCAGTACGTTGATTGCTGGCACATGTGCCGTCGCAACCCGGTGGTTGCAACGGTCGATAACGGCGGCGGCCGGCTGAACATGGCCCACAAGGGCGTGGCGCCTACACGGCAAGGGCTCCGCCGGTCCCAGCGCGTCGCAGCGCAAAGGGCCCCGGGCCACTACCGAGAGGTCGCCAACCCGCGCGCTCTTACCAGACGCGCGAGTACACCTAGCCGTGGCCTTCCACAGGGCTCAACCCGCGCAGACGACCGAGGACCCGAGCACAACGACAACGGCAACGACGACGTTGACGACGACGACGACTATGCTGTCGCGGCAGAGGCAAACAGAGAGGAGCCGCTGTGCACCTCCAGCCCCGCCCGGCACGAAGGGAGTGACGACCACCTCCAGCCCGTCGATGACGGACGGTCGACACACTCCCAACATTCCAGCACAGCCATGAGCGACACGCTCGACGCGCTCAACGTAACCGACACGCTCGACGCGCTCGACGTAAGTGACACGTTCGACGCGCTCGACGACAGCGAGTTGGTTTCGTCGGGCGAGTTGGTGGACGCCCTCCAAAGCGTCTACGGCCCCGAACCACCCTCCGACACAGAGGCGACTGACGCTCATGGCCCTAATGCGCTCACGCCCGCGCAAAGCGGGCACCAAGGAGGCCCAGCCTCACACCAACATGGAGACCACGCCACAGCGCGTGCGCCTCCCCACGGGGCCGCCGAGGCCCAGCACCAACAGCCGACGGCGGCGAACACCACCGCAGCATTGTCCACGGCCGCGTCCGCTGCACACGAGCCAGCCCAGGCTGCTACTCCCGAACCCCGGACCCCTGCGGATCCTGGTGGTGAGGAGCAGAGCATCCCGGACACACCGCTAGCGGACGTGTTCGACCTTATGCAATGCTGCGACGACGCCAACTGCTGGGTGAAGGACCACACCCCGTATGCCCACGACGGATCGTTCGCAGGGCCCTTGCCGAAGCTCCCCTGCCCCTTCGGCAACTGCAGCGTGCACTCGCACAACGCGGCAGATGGCCACAAGAACCTCACCGCGCTCGCCACTCACATACGTACGGCTCACCCAGAACATGCCATACCCGGCCTCGCGGCAGCCCTCGGGCTCGGCTTCTGCACGAAGTGCGCGTACGTGTGCTCTCCGCGGCACAAGTGCAAGCACGCGGAGGCAGTTCCGGAGGACCCGCCCGAAACCCACTACAAGCCGGAGTCGTGGTGGAACGCCAAGTTCGCTACTTTCGAGCAAGATCTGGTGTCCAGGGTGGCCAACGTGGACGTGTATCACGGCGTCAAGACGGCCGTCGACGTCAGAGTTCGCTCCCCGACAGAACGACGCGCAGTCCTGATTGCGGACTCCCTGATCGGACAGGCGTGTGCCCTCGCGGACGACCCCGACAACGACGACCAGTACACCTACCTTGACGCCGGCGTCTACCTCCTCCAACGCGTTTTCGCCCGCACGCCCCAGCACTTCCTCTCCCAGAACACGACGCTGGCACGAATGCGGATGCTAGCCGCACGGGAGTGGGACGAGCTGGAGGAGAGTGTGACGCGGAAGCCCAGCGGACGCCCGGCCACAGGAGACCGGGCGAAAGCACGGGCGGCGGCGAAGCGGTTTCGAGCTGGGCAAATGTCCAAAGGCCACTCGATCCTCCGCGACACCGCCTCCGTCGCGGAGTGGAGCGACGACATCAAGGAGCAGGTGAAGCAGAAGATCATCACGACAGGCAGCGCAGGCCTGCCCAGCAGGGGCGACGACAACAGCGGCGGCGACGCTGGCGGCGACGGGCCACTCGCCAGAACCACCATCGACGATCTCCCGGCAGAAAAGATCACGGATGCGCTGTACACGCTGGACAGGCAGGCGGCGGCGGGCGCCACCGGGCTCACGCCCGCGACCCTGGCGCAGCTGCACGAGCACGGAGCATCCCTGCCGAAGCTGGTCAACGCGCTGTATCATGGCAAGTTTCGGAAGCGCATGCCACTCCTCATGGGTGGACGCGTGGTGCCGCTGACGAAGAGCAATGGCGGCATCCGACCTGTGGTCCCCATGGACAGCATCGCCAAGCTCCTGGAGAAGACGGTCTTCAGCGCGCACAAGGCCGAGATCGCCGACGCCCTATGCCCGCACCAACTCGGCGTCGGCATCCCCGCCGGCACAGAGTGCATCGTGCATGGCCTGCGTGAGTACCTGCGGGCCCACCGGGACCACGTGGCGCAGGCGCTCGACATCTCCAACGCCTTTGGGGCGGTGACGCGACGCTCAATCTACGACGCCATCAGCCGCCGCTTCCCGAGCCTCGCACATTGCTTCCTGGCGACGTACGGCCAGGCACCGGTCGTCGTCACACCGGGTGGCGACACCCTCCACATGCGCGATGGCATCGCGCAGGGCGGTCCGCTCTCACCGGCGTATTTTGCCCTTGCCACGATCCACGCGCTGAAGGAAACCGACAAGGCCCACCCCACGGTCACCGTCGTCGCGTACCTCGATGACACCTACATCGTTGGCCCGCGCGATGACGTCAAGGCGGCCGCGGAGCGGCTCGACACGGAGATCCGCCGGACGGGGCTGAAGATCAATGAAGACAAGACGGTCGTCATCCCCTACGGCGACCAGACCGCGAAAGTGCTGGGCGTCCCCCTCTTCGGGCCATACGAGGCATCCCACCTCGACGAGACACGGAGGGCTCTCGACCTGGCGAGCGCCCACTTGCCGGCGCAACTGGTCTTCCAGTTCCTTCGGTACTGCATCACGACCAATTCCGGCTACTTCATGCGCACGACCCGTCGGTCGAAGGAGTACTGCGAAGCGCTCGACGACATTATCGCGGAGCAGCTTCGGCGCATGATGGGCGCCTTCAAGCCCCTGTCATCGCGGGCCCTGACGCGGGCACGACGACCCATCAAACAAGGAGGCCTTGGGCTACGGAGGCAGACAAGCGTCGCCCCCGCCGCCTTCCTCGGCTCCGTCTGCAGCTTCAGCAAGAGCCCCCACCACCCTTTCCAAGCATACACCACGCCGGGCGCCGAGTTGGAGGCGGAGATAGCACAAGCCATCGCGGATCTGCACCTCGGCGACGACGGCCCCCGCGACACGAGGGACGTTCTAAACCACGACGCTCGCAGCTTGCAGCAGTTCCTGACCCAGATCATGGACAGGAAGACGGGCTGGGACGAGAACCCACGCAACCGAGCCATTCAACGAGGAGCCAGCCTGCACGGCGGCTACGAGTGGCTCCTGGCCCTGCCCAGCTGCAAGGACCTGCGGATGTCGGACAAGGTGTTTCGGTTTGCTCTGAGCCAGCGGATTCGGACACCTTGCTCCGAGTCGCGTGCATCAGGCAGCTGCTACTGCTGCGGGCGCGAGATGAAGCTGGACCACGCCGAAGTCTGCGACTCCACGAAGACGGGCCGGCACGACTACATGCAGAACGCCATCTCCCGGGCCTTCATGCAGCTCAACCGCCGCGCGACACAAGAGCCCTCCGGCTTCCCAGGCGCAGGCGGCAAGCGCGGTGACATCCTCAGCTTCGACAAGTCTGGCGATTACACCGTGTTTGACCTCGTGTTCGCCGCCCCCGCGGCCAGCTCGTACCAACCACAGGCCGCCAAAGTCAACCTCTACGCGGCGTCGCAGGCGGAACAACGCAAGATCAAGAAGTACCAGGCCATCCTACGCGATCAGGGCGACTTCAAATTTGTGCCGATTGCGATCGAGGCTGGCTCGGGCGCCTGGGGCTCGAAGTTCCGGAAGTTCTTCAGCAGCGACCTTATGTCCACGACGGACCCACAAACACCACCACACGTGCGCACCTTTACCTCCATGCACAGCAGCACGTACTGGCGGCAAGTGTTGTCCATCGCGAGATGCAAGGCTGAGTGCTACGCGAACCTCCGGTGCATCGGCCAGATGCCTCACGACAAGCGGGGCAAAAATCAGCCGGGCTCGGTCCGGGCGGGAGACACACACACTCCCCGCCAGAGCACCCAGACGGTACAACGAGCGCGCGCTCAAGCCCAGCGCAACCACCAACAGGGCAAGCGCACCCGCAAGCGCAAGCATCCGCAGACCACACCCCCCGGCCACAACGGCCAGCGCAGCAATGACAGCAACAACGGCACTGCTGCCACCGCCGCTGCCACCGCCACCACCGACAACGATGAGGGACAGCCACGCAGCGCCCCCGCGACCTCACGAAGCCCCGGTGGCCCGGCCGCAACAGAGCCCCCTGCGACTGTCTAAGCGACAGTCGCAGCACTACACATGAGCCTCGCACCGAGGCACTTGGTTTCTATCTATCTATTGATTCACTTTTCTTTCTGTCTATGAGGCGCGTGCTCTCACACACATTCGCCCATGCACACCGCTGCCCCTTGTTTTGCCGCAATTGCTTTCCCCATCTCTGAGCGCTGGGAGCAGTGTAAGATTTCAGCGAGTTTTCCCCAATAAACCAATCGAATACAAACACAAAACACACATAATCACGCATGCACTACGCTCACACACACACACACACACACACACACACACACACACACACACACACACACACACACACACACACACAACTCGGCATGTCAACCGCAGTCAGACATCAGTGTTGGTTGGAGTGGAATCGAGGGGGAGTTTCTGGTGTCTTCGGAGTGTGTCACTTGGCTGGTGTTCGGAGATTGCGTCGCTTGGCTGGTCGTCGGAGCTTGCGTTGCTTGTCTGGTCACCAGCTGGGCTCACAGGATTCGAGTTGGAGGAGGTTCTGCTGTCACCAGCAGCGTGGCCACTGCTGTCGTGACGACTACTACCTGTTTGGGGGGTTCCTTCTGTCTCATGTCTGAATAGTTGCAACTCAGTTCCGCTTCTGCGTTGGCTCAGCTGCTGATCTGGTTCAACAAACACGTTCTCAACCTGTGTGTCCTCCTCTTCATGGTCATCATCGTCCTCCACGTCCGCGTGTTCCACAACCGGGCCCTGATTTGGCATGTTGTTGTGTTGATGGTGCCTTTGGTTACCATTGTCGTGGTCCCCAGTGGGCTCTTCGTCGTCCCACACATACCCGTCTGCGCCGTTCTGTCTAAAATCTTGAAACGGCCACAGCAAAGCGCAGACAACCATGACAGCTACTGCAGTCAGCCCCATCCACCAGAAATACAACACGACCATGCTGGTGGGGCCGGGCATGACAGCCAAGGCGCTCACACCAAGCGCGTAGGCCATAGCCGTTGTCAACATCAGTCCCCAGCAGCCACGTTGCGTTGAAGAGCGCATGCAGAGTACGATTCCCCCCATGATGCTGATATGATACAACAGGAGCAGAACTTCAGCGCCGCCGAGCATGCCGCTGCTTGTGACATTTGACGCAGGCCTGGCTGCAGCGCAAGCAATCAGCAGCAGGATCTTTGAGAGTCCATCCATTAGAGGCCAACAAGCGAGAGTGACCATGCTCTTACAACTGTTATTTGCATGTGCTCTACGCCCATCCGCTTGCCGTGCACACACCGCTCGCCGTGCATACAACCTCGTCTTAGTTACAATCAATAGTACACCAAGCACGCAGGAAACGCCAACTGTGTTGCCTGCGCTGTTCAGCACAGCCCATGGCAGGAACACAGCGCACAGCAGCTCACTGACGCAGGCAACCGCCACAACACGGTACCTCAGTTGTGTCACAGCCCTCAGCTGCAAAACAGCAGCCAAGACAAACCCTCCTCCCACCAGGCCCACTCCAGCGTTGGCCATGTCATTTGCTGTGCTTGCACGCTCGTTTCCCACGTACGAGTCTGCAATGCCGCCTGCAGAGCGAACAGCCTCAGCCACCCCGAGAACAAACCCGCGTGTCTGCTCAGAGCTCCCCTCCTCAACAATCGGCAGAAGGCATCCCGCAAAGATGAGGCCAAAGTACAACACAGACGTACCGCTGGCAAGTGCGCTACGGTGGGACAGCGTGTTATCTCCTAATTCAGCGTTCACCACCCCGTCGGCCACGTTCCTTAGGAAAGTGAGCGCAAATCGGCACACAAACACCATGTGCGAAGCCAACACCACCCAAAACAAGACAGTCCAGGTGGTATTCCAAGCCTGCGCGCTACTGTGTGAGCTCGCGGTGCTCACTTGGCAACCAACGCCCACGCGCACCATGTCGCCCTCGATGCTACAGTACAGCTTGTGGGCTGTGGAGAGGCGAACCATGGCTGTGATCTTGCTATCGCTGTCGCTGGGGGACACGCAGCTCATGTGATCCAGCAAACTCAACCTCTCCAGCGCAAGCCGGCTGCAGTCCTTAGCAAGGTTCACCAGCGCTCCGTCTGTCCAGCCAGTGCCAACCGCCTCGCCATGCGACACGAACGACATGTTTTTGTGCCAGCATACCTCCTGCTGCGACAGACGTAGGGTCGCGTTCAGTGGCAACATCAGCTCCGCCTGCGCAGTATCTGACACCCGCAGCTGCAAAGGCTCGGTCCACTGAGCCACAGGCGCGGACATAAAGTCCACCTGTACCGCACCTTGTTCAATAACAACTCCCAACTGGAGCATGTCATGTGCTGGTCCCAGGTTCACGGTGAAGTTGTGGTTGGTTGTGGAGTTATCAAACCGCACACGGTCAGCCCCAACAGTGACCAACAATGCGCCTTGCAGCGTGGATGAGCCTGCAGCAGCGGCAGGCACGGCAGGCACGGTAGTTGTTTGTTCTTTGGTACTTCTTGCAGAAGGGCGTTGAACTGATTGACTCTCTGTCGACACCTTGCTGCGTGCCGTGTCGCTTACACGCGCTGCTCCGCTCGTTTCAGTCAGGAACGGCCCAGAAAGCGACACGTTTGCGCTCGACAGGCAGCCTGACATCGACAGCAGCGACAGGTCAAGCTCAAGGCGCTGTGTGGAGCTTGGGAACGTGAGAGAACTTGACAACATACCCCCTGTGGCCGTTCGCAACCCAATGTGATGCCTGTGCAACAAGTCGTGTTCGCTGTCATACAATGTTTCAAAGAGCGTCTGCGGCGAGCGAGAACAATCTGCACCTGCGGGCAGTTGAACAACAGCACTCTCATTTCGGAGCACTGGGCTCATGAGCCGCACTTGCCGCTGGGCTGCCGAGCGTGACGGCTCACTCCCAAATTGCACCGTGTACGCGCCATTGTCAATACTGACGTGGTCTTCGTGCAGCAGAACGTGTGACAGTGGAGTCGTGTCACGTAGTTCAACCGTAGCCGCCGGCGAGAATGCCATGGTCGTGAAGTGCCTTCGCACGTCCGTGATGCGGGTAGACTCGACATTGCTGATGGGGAGATGATGATTTGAGTCGGGAAACAAGCCAAAGCATGGGTCATCCGCAATGCGCTCAAACGTGGAGGGAGGCAGAAGCATCTGTGCCCATGCGAGAGCCCAAGGTGAAAGCGGGGAAGGCACGAGTGGCTGCCCATCAGCGGGGTGCAACACCAAGAGGCAGCCCCCTTCCACAGTGACGTTGTTGCTGGGCAGGGCGGTGACCAACCCAGTTTCATCACCACTGACAATCACACGACCTGCGCCCAGAAGCGCCGCCGTTGGCAGGCTAGCCGTCACGTTGTACAGCTGAATTGGATTCTGCAGTACCGTGTCAGGCTGAGCTATAAGGTTCGAGGGCTCCCTGGCCGCAACAACAAGGTCCACGCCCGAGATGGAGGACTGCAGCTCGAAGCGGGCATTGCCTTCAGCAAGCAACGCAACGTGCCTCGCGTTGACCACCTGCATCGCGTTCGACCCCAGCGACAGACGCGCTGCTCCCGAGTCAAGCTCATCGAAGCGAAGTGTGCGCACGTTTCGCAGGTCGCGTTGTCGTGGCACAATCATGCACACTGTGAGGTTGCTCTTCTCTTGTCCTATGACCTGAATGGTTGCGGGCGCACTCAGGTCCTGAAGTGCGGAAATGACTTGCCAGTCTTTCGGCGTCCCTTGGCTGTCGTCTGTGAATACGCCGCTAGATCGGCCCTCCCGTGTGGCGGCCTTCTGCGAAGAATCACGGGAGAATCTCCGCTGTGCGTTGGGTTGCTCACCGACACGCAGTATAGATCCGGCCCCAAGGTTCTCCACCACATACGAGCAGCGGCTCTGTGGCTCGATGAACACGACGCGGTTCTCGTCTGGAAACGAGACCCGGATCACCGTGTTGTTTCCGGGAAACCATGCCATTGCAGAACCCACTGAGGAGGCTGCCAGAGTGCTGCGTGCTGCTCTGTGCGTTGCCAGCGATCGGGTCTTCCGCTGACCGCTGTCTTCTCGTCCCCACGGATAAAAGTGGAGCACCGCGCCATTCTGGTGCACAAACGAAAGCGCCGATGTCGCATCCTCACTCCTCACTGGTCGCACCTCCGCCGAGGACAGTAGCTCCGGTGTCACCCCATTCGCAAACAGCCAAAAAGAATCCAAGTCGTCATTGGACCCAAAGTCCAGCCGAGATGACGCGAACTCACACTCAACCATCACATGGTCGTTCCCACGCCCGGTGTTGACGTCGAAGGAAGTGCTGCTGTTGGCGTTGGCATAAACAAACGTGTCCTCACCATCCAGCAGCTCAGCCTGCACGGGCAGGCCAAACCGGTGCACGTACAAGCTGTCCTCGCCACGAGTCAGCGTCACGTCGACCCGAGCTCGGCCTCCTTGGTACACATGACAGTGGCTCATGTCAAAGCCAGGGTCAAAGCCGCGTGCCACAGCATGCATGAGCACCCACTCTGTCAGGCCAGCATTGATTTCGGCGGGCGTGCCAGCCTCGCCTCCAACAGCAGCCGGAGAGATACAGCGGTCCGTGTGCAGCACAATGTGCTGGCTTGCCGCGTCAACTCCAGCCGTCACAACCACACGCCCCTCCAGCGACTCGTGTGACCTGTCTCGCAGGCTTACAATCGACGCCTGAATGCGTGAGAACGGTGCATGGTCTAAAGAGCCCTGCTTCTCGATGCGCAAAGACACCGTGCCAAGCACGAGCACGCCACGTGAGAGGGTGGCAAAGCTGATCGTGTTTCGATTCACTGGACCAGAGCTCTCAAAGTTGAGCACATAGTCGGCCGTGTTGTCAGCTTCGGTGAACAGAACCGCGTTGCTCTTGTTTCCAAAGCGGACGTACACGTGGTCGATGTTCTGCATGGCAATGTGCAGCTGCTGGCTTGCCAGGGATTCCCTGGACGCAACCCGAAGTCCGCCATTGAAGAATGACCACGACAAGTCCCGTGTGTCATACCCGGCGTCCACTATGATTGTGTAGTTCTGGTCCGTAGATGGTGAGTCCTGAACTCCTTGCACATCAATGTAGCAATTGAACCTTTCCAGATCGCCAGAGCCGATGATGAGCTGCTGATTGCCCGGTCCTTCCAGTGTGTACCGATGTGCAGATGTTGGGTCCTGGCAGCCCGTGACGCGATGCGTTGCTGTTGCCCCAAGCTCTGCTACCGAACGCACAGCCGCAAACGCAAACCGTTCTGAGGACAAAAGCGAAGTCTCCGCCGTCGCGCCGTCTTCAACATGCAGGTCCAAGGTCTTGTCGTTAATGTTCGCGTGCTCCACTTGGCGCAAACCTGTGCTTGTGTTCTGGCTGAAGAGGCCAGAAGTCACCGTTATGTAGGGGGTCTCCCCACGCCGGGCGCGGGCCGCAATCCGAAGCCGGTTCACGGAGCCTGTGGCTGCACCGCGAATCACGAGCAGTCCATTCACACGCTGAATGTCCGGGACAAAGACATCCAGGATGCCTCGACTGCCCTGAAACGTCATGGACATGCCTTGTGGCACATCCAAAACTTCCACAGACCCGTCATTCGACGCCTGACCTTTCACCATCAACTCCGCAGGCGGTTTCGTGAAAGGGGTCTCATACCCGTCCGCCATAACGTACTGGCTCGACAGCACAATTCGCGATGCCTTGAGATTCATGATGAACCGCTTGGTTTGTCCAATGACCCGCAGATTGATCTGCCCTGGATGCCCGTACAAGCCCACAGTCTGGGTGCCAGAGACCAGGGCTTCCGTTTGGCATGGCGTCCCCGTCACGATGAAATGAGCCTGGGGAAGTGGGTCGGTGAGCTGCAAGGACGTGCAGCTCAGCACTGCACTCTCCCGTCTGCCCCCGGCCATGCGCACACTGCGGCGCCGGTTTGGCAGGTCCATGCCCTCGTCACTAAAAACGATCCCGGCTGCAAACAAGGGCAGGACTGCGCTGCGAGTGATCCGAAACACTTGCACGGGCGCTCGCCTTGTCGCATTCACAGATCGCGGAAACACCGTGTCGGCCAATGCTTGACGGCGCCTGCGAACCAGGGTGTGCGTCGTTGAGTCTGAGATGTGTGTGGTTGAAGCTCCGTGCGCAGCTTGGCTGGAAGACACGCCATACGACTGCTGTGAAATCTCAATGTGGGAGCCAGGTAGCGCCGGGACATGGACGCACCTGAACACACCCACCACTCGGACCTTGAGCGCGCTATTGTGTGAGCTGCCTGTGAACCGGATGCAGCTACCGTCGGCGGGAAGCGACCCTGTGCGCGGCGCCTCGTTCACACCGTCATCGGGCGTCTTCACCGCCACTGTGACCGTGTCCCTGGCCTGCGAGAGCGTGAACTGCGCCATGGACACGCAAGCGCCCGCGCACCGCCTGACCACGGACCGACGGCGATATGGCTGTGAGAACGACGATCCAATGTTGATGTTTCCCGTACCGCTGGTTGGGATGGGAAACACGCGCGCCCTGTCAAGCCGTTCCCAGAGCGTGAACGAATGAGACCACGCGACAATGGTCCAGCACTTGCGGTAAAACAGCAGGTTAATGCAGGCTCGAAGACTGAATCCCGCGTCCAAAAACAGCGTGTAACGGCGATCCAGTGACTTGAAGACGTTACCGTCGTTGTACTTGACCAACTGATACATGTCACCGATGGTGATGCGCCCGGTGTGGTAAATGTCGGGAATGGCCACCGCCGCCTCCAGTGTGAGCCCCAAGTAGAAGGACCCTTGAACATATGCAAAGTACACGCCAATTGACACGCGGACGTAGGCGCCGATGGAACCCCGCGCAACAAGGAAGTTAATTGGCTTGTGGGTTGCGCGGTCAACCGTTCGAATCGCAACCGTGCCCAAGGTGGACCCAATGTCGCCGGTCTGAAGCAGTGTGACTGCCGTTTCCGTTGTGATGATGAGCGGTGGCGGCTGCGCCTGGATCTCAAACGAGAACGTGGGCTCAATCTCAACCAACGGGACAGACCAGATGGGGATGGTCCAGGAAACGCCAATGCCAATCACCAGTCGCGGGAAGGTAAACTCCACGAGATCGACGACCTGGCCAAGTAACATCTTGACCACGTTCAGCACGGGGTTGTCGAGAAACGAAAGCCTGACACCAAAAGAGCCCTGCGTTGTCATGTCAGACCAGACCTTCCGCACGACCTCCTGCTTGGCCCGGGGCAAGCGGTCGCCGCTCTTGAAGTTGAGCTGCTTCACGGGCGGGGGTCCCATCACCTTGGGCTCAAGGATGTCGTCCCGGAAGTCAAGCAGCATATCGGGAAGCTCCTGGGTGATGGCATTGCACGAACCATCCTCAAGCAGGTCCTCGATGTCCCGAAGTGTGGAAATGAGGTCCACCACGTAAGTTACCTGGGCAATCATCTCATACACCTCGGAAAAATCGCAGTTGTCCGTGCACAGGTTCTGCACAATCACGTACAGCACATCCACGAGAGGCATTTCGTCGAGAACGGGCGACAGGTCCACCTCCTGTTGGAGGAACTCGACAACCTCAATGACGGTTTTGAAGAACTTGTTGTCGACCCAGCTCAGGGCGCGGTGCAGCGTTGTTCGAAGCAGGCTTCCGACACAAAGTCTAGGGCTGGTCAGTTGACACGTCGGGCCCTTGCTGCAACCCTTGCTACCGCACTCGAAGGCGCAGTCCAAGTCCGCTCGCACGTTCGGCAGTGCTCGAATTGCTTCGTCGTTGCTCTTGTCGAGCAGGTCTGCAAACACCCCCGCAAAGCCCGCAACCATGTCGCCACGAAACCTTGCTTCGATAGCCGCTTCAAAGTCCCACATCTTGTCCTCTGTACGCGCAGGTGGGATCACCGTGAGCCCAAGGCGAACGAACGCAGTGGCCATCATGTCAAAACCGCCAAGGAGGAACGCGCCTGAGAGGGAGCAGTCTTTCGTGTCCATCTGCACCGTCACGTGGACCGCTGGGTTGTGCAGAAACTCAAATCGGATTCCGCCCGAAAACACGAGGTCAACTTGGATGTGCCACGTGAATTTGACCTTCTGTGTGCACTCAAAGTCGGCGCTGAGCACCCCATGGTCACCAAAGTCAAAACCAATCTCATCCGGCTTTGCTGTGAAGCTTCGCTTGAGGTTGAGGGGCCAGCGCTTCTCTTTGAGAGTGATGGACGGGATATCTGGAAACTCAATGGCCCACGGCCCCAGCAGGAACGAAAGCGCGTCTGTGAAGAGCTTGAGCACCTCAAACTCAAACTCAGCAAAGCTGAAGCTAATGCCACTGAACTTGAGATCCCTGAGGCCAATCTCAATGAAGTCCCACATTTTTCTGAGAAAGGTAAAGTCGAACAACTCGCCCAAGTTGATGCGCAGGATGTCTTTCCACCAGTCTCCGAGCACAGGAAGCTTCAGGCCATCCAAGAGACCTCCAAGTGAGAACACAAAGTCCAAAAACTGCTCCCACGCCAAACGGAGGGCAAGCGATATGCCCCCGAAGTCTGCTAGTGCGTTCTGAAACCCAAACACTGCCTTGAGGATGCCACTAATGGTCGGCCACAGCCCGCGTGGGCAACCATCAGCCTTGAAGGCAAAGGTGTCCGGGCCTGGCTGAAGTAGGAACCTGGTCAGGGCTGGAATCTTGATATCGACCTCACAGGTCGCAGAAAAAGGCACATGAACCTTTGCATTCAGGAATGCGTGTCCCTTGAGACAAATGCCAAACTCTCGGTGGCCTGCTTCACTACCGGCGTCGTCTGCAGACGCTTGTGTGCGTCGCAGACGGCGCAGTAGCTGATGGCTCGGGTGAGGGCGCCGTGCCATCACCCCTGCATCCAGAGGAAACGTATGTGTGGACCTCCTTCGTCTCTCAAACTCATTTACAGGGTCTGCTTCCGGCATGGACGCTGTGCTCCATATCCAGCACTGGCCTTCTGCTTGGTCGTCTTCCTCGCCCTGCTGGCCTTCATCGTCTGCCGCTGTTGCTGCTGCTGGTTGTGGTGGCTTTGGTTCCATGCTGCGGATCGCACGAATCATACGCTGGTCATCTTCGTGCTCACCATAGGCGATGGTGAGGTTCACTGGTGTGCCAATGTCCAAGTTCAGACTTGACAACGGCACAGACATGGACCCAAAATACACTTCTATGTTGCCCATGGCCTTGACATCGAGGGTGAGCTGCAGATTGCCACGCCGTATGTACAGCGTGGGAAATGGTGCGCTGATGTCAATAACGAGGGTTGCGTTGGACGCAATCAGAGTCTGCACTGCCAGTGAGCCCTCTGTCGCCTGACCCACAGAAAACTCCTCCAAGGACTGCACCGGCTCAAACAGTTTTGCATCAAAGATAAACTGCTCAGAGTCGGACTGCTCCTCAAGCACAATGTACAGATCGATGACAACCTCGTGCTTCCTGAGTTCAGAGTTGACGCACACGTCCTGGTCAAACGCTTCGTTGAGAACGGTGCAGAGCACTTGCAGGTCGCCGTTGAAGCCACCGTCGCAGAGCGCCTCAACCGCCTGCGCCGCTGCCAGCTGATACGGGCCAAGCCAGTCGCTGACTGACTTTGTCAAGAATGGCAGGGGCCGGACACCAGCCGCTTGGGCACCAACGCCGTCTCCGGGCTCCAACAGCCGCTGTGCAAACTGGCACAGGCTGGACCTGTTGACCAGCAAAACATTCCGTATTGCCTGTACAAAATCCTCCTCGCCGCGCACGTCAACGTCAAACTCAAAGCGCCTGGTCATGTCCGTCACGTTGAAGTCTGTGCTCAGGTGGAACGAACCGGTAAGTTGAAGCACCAGCGCGGCGTCCGTCGTCTGCACGTTGACCTGTCGAAGACCAACGGTAATATTTGAGAGCTCAAACGTCGTGTTCAGCGAGACCCTCGCATCAAAGTGTGTGAAAAACATGTGCTCGTTTCGCAGGGCGCTGTTTGCCCTGGTCACGCTCGTGAACGAGGAAAAGGGCTGTACCATACGCCGCTTCCGGCGATGTGGCGCGAAGTGCCTGTCATCGACAAGATCGGGCGCCGCTTCATACGGGATGTGGTTGCTTGTGTTGTTGGATTGTGTGTCCCAGCCAATGACGGTGGGGTTGCTCCTGTCTCGATTGCTCCTTGGAGTGCGCTGGATAAGCGAGCCAGGCGGACTGAGGAGGCCAATGTCAATGTCAATGTCCGTGGTTCCCTCAATCTTGTCCGATGCAACGGCCAGGATGCCCGCCTCCACCTCAGCCCTATCTGCACTGGCCCTGAGGGCGCCCGTTGCACGAAGCCTGGCATCGCTCATCATTGCTTGCACCAGCGGCAGGCCAAAGGCCGATGTTTTCAGCCAAGGCACCTCGCTGCTAGAGATGGCCACCAGATCTGGAACCCACACGGTGCCGTTGTCGAGGAAGGCGCGGTTCACTTGGATGGCAATCTGGTCCCTCTGGCTGCGTCGCGTGCGCCTGCCAAGCAATACCTGCACAAACGGCTGCAGAAACTCGGGAAGACTTTGCGCAAGCGCCGATTGCACTGCTTCCTGCGCGACCGTTCCAGGCTCCAACGTAACTGCAACTGTCCACTGCCTTCGGCCAATGCGGACACTGCTCGGACCTTGGGCGTCGGTGCCTTCTTCACCAGCACGCATCGTCCTCATTTGACCCTGAATGTCAAGGGTGAACGTGTTCGCACCGGCCCGCACTTTTGTGGTTGTTGGCGTGTCCTCGTCGGAGAATGAGGAGTACACGGTGATGTTCTCGCCGCCTCTTGGTGGCGGGCAGTCAAAAACAAAGGAGAGGCCGGCTGAGATGGTTGCGTTAAGGTGCGCCAATGCCCGACCGCCCTCCAGCGAGGCTGTCAGCAAGCCACCGAGCGCAGACACGGTGTCATTCACGGGCGAGTCTACAGCGGTCTGGTATGCGTAGCTGGCATCGAACCGAAATCCAATGGCGTCAAACATGCCGGGGTACACATGGTCGAGGTCGGCAGGCACGCCCACATCGGCGGCCGGTACTTGCAGACGTTGCAGCTTGGGCAGGTCACTGTCGGGAATGAGCACTGCCTGGATCACGGACAAGAGGTCATCCCAGTGAGCAAAAAGTGGCCTTGGTGCAGGGTTTAAATTGCCACGAAGCGTGAAGTTCTGCTGGATAGAGTCAGGCGTCGAGGCAATGGCAACGTAGGTGAGGGCGCCTGGGGTGACAGGAACCGCACGAAACACAGCGCAGTCCGAGTTGTCAGTGCCTTGCGTGACAAGCGAGTCTGGGTCGAGCTCGATCTTGAGCCACTTGCGCATTTCCGTTCGCTGATGCAGGTTGCTGTTGATGGAGGCTGTGAAGGCAGTCAGGCTGGAGTAGCGGAGGTTGTTGAGGGGGACATACACGCGCTCGTTCTGAGGCGAGTGCAAGGTGACGTTGAGGCCCGTTGGAGGCTGGGCCTTGATCTTGTCCAGACATGAGAAAGTGGAGGCAATAGTTGGTTTGGGGTTGGGCAGGATGGACAATGGCGAGGTAATGATGTCGATGGTTCGCGTCAGCTCAGACACATCACCAGCCCAATTCTCATACGGGGGAAGGAGAAACGCGAGCGAGTTTGACAGCGCCCGTGGCACCATGTTGAGGATGCCAGACTTGATCGTATCCAGCACAGATGCAGGCGACACATGCTGAGACGCAGGCCTGTTGCGGATGCGAAACATCACTGGCTGCTGTCGCTGCTGCTGCTGCTGCTGCTGTCGCTGCTGCTGCTGCTGTTGATCACTGTCGTCGTTGGATGGAAGGTTGCTGCTGGAGAGATGGAAGGAAAACGGGTGGCCAAACTCACTCGCCACATCCAACTGCAAGTTGACCGAGAAAGACTTGGGCATGTCAGCGTTCAGGGTGAGCGACGTTGTGACGGGTTTGTTGAACTGCATGCCCAGTTGCGTCGGAAGGACAAACCCGCCCAGATTCGTGGCCCCAGTGGCGGCAAAGCTGAGGACCTCGGCCGTGAAGCCGTGCATGCTGACGATGATGTTGTAGGACAAAACAACCGTTGTCTCGAACCGGTCTGTCCCCACGATGCCGCGCCACGCGCTCCCGTCCACGGGGATGATGGCTGTGTTCAACTGCTCGATGCTGAGAGTCAGGCGGATTTTGCCGTCTTTCACAAGAGCCGTGGGCACAACCGTGACTCCTTGCACTGGACTAGATGTGCTCTGCGCAGCCAGCTCCACACGCTCCGCAGCTTTGTGCTCCTGCAAATGCTGCCCGGCGACCGCTGACGATATGGCGTCGAAGATGGGCCGGAGCAGCGCTCCTGGTGGCCAGTTGCTCAGCTGCACTGGCGCAGTTGCCACCGCGGTGGCCTTCTGTGCGAGAAGGTCTACGGCCTGCTCCATAGTGGTTGCGTCCGGCATGGTGCTGGCCGTGGCGATGCTCCTGCAAGACAATTTTGCGGCCTGGATGTCGGTTAGTGGTCCAGGATCGACAGAGACGCTGTAGCTTCCAGTGATAAACCTGCCACCAATGTCACCAGTGCTCAAGTCATGAACAAATGAAAACTTGTGCGGCTCGTTGTCATCGGAGCTGGAACCACTGACGCGCAAGAAACCAGCAACGTGTTCTCGCAGTGCTTTGACAGTGATTGTGTCGTCGTTCACTGGGAGGCCGACCCAGGCCGTTGCCTGCGCACTGAATTGAAATTCAGCATCATCGACGTGGTTGGTCGACCAGTTGATCAAGTTGGCTGCGAGCGGCCCACATATGATGCCTGCACGGGGCCGAAACGAGTCGAGGATAGCATTTGCATCAGCCAACAAGCCGGCTAGAGATGAGGAGCTGATGCTGTTGATGGCGAGGGTTCTGCTCACCCTCACGCTCAATCCAAACGCAGCCAAGTTGTTCTCGTCATTCACTGGTGGTAGCAATGGCTGAAGCTGGAGGGTGCGAGGCGATAGCTGCGACTGAAACCATGACCAAAATCCAAGCACTGTGGCGTGATCGGCATGGTCAACATAATCTTGAACGACGTCGGCAATCTTGTCAGCCTTGAGCGCCTCGTGCACAGCCGTGTTGACATCTGGCACCCCAGTCTGAAGTTGCGTCATCAGGGTCTCCAGAACTAGCGTGACGTGCGCAACAGCTGCTTGCGAAGACTCAAGCTCGAGGTCGCCCAGTGCGACGCCAACCGGAAACATGGAGGTGATTGCGTTTCCTGGCAGGAATGTGTGTACTGTCGTCGGTGCTTTTGATTCAGGCATTGTCGCGTCAGGTTTGTAGAGTAGATGACCCATCACCTGAGCTTCAACGGTGGGCATCCACGCCTGCACCATTTCCAGTGGGACAAGCCGATTTGAGATGTCGGTGAAGTAGTCGAGTAGCCAGGCACTGTTTGTTGGGTTGCTGGAGGACATTGTGAAAGATGCAACGATGGAGTCGCTGCTGCCTGGGCGAATCACATCGCTTGTGCATTTGATTGTTGCAACCGTCTGTGCGCGAAAGCCCTGGGCAATGACGGCATCTTGGGAGGAAAAGAGGTCCACCGCAATGTGTGACAGTACAGAGTCTTCAATCACCTCGAAAGCACCATCGCAAGGCGTCCCATCTGCAGCCTTGGAGACAAACCCCTTGACCGCTTCCATGATGTGGTCGTCGCACTTTGCGTACTGGGCCCCGAACGGCTGCCATGTGCCACCGGCGCAGACGCGGGTCCGCTGCAGCAGAACACCAAGTGGCCCCTGCGTTGGGGTGTTGGCCACGGTTCGCCGCGTGATTCTCTGCGTGACAGTGTTGAGCTCCTTCTGCGACAGCAAGTCCAGCGCCTGCCAGACCCGGCGAGCAGTGGCCCGGAATGCAGCCGCGCTTGCTGCCATGGATGAGACACGCAGGTGCGGTTGTCCGAGCAGCGAATGGACGATATTGAGCGTCTCTGCCGGCAGCGAGCCCGGGTCCTGAGGCGTGGGGATGAACACGGTCGGCAGCTGGTTGTCGAGGAGATCAGGGTCTCGCGCGATGACGACGCTGCCGCCTGACCCCGAGGCTGTGGCATCGCTCAGTGGCCACTTGAGGTGCGCGAGGTGCAGCGGGGCAAAGGGCGCCCCAGGGCGGACGACAGCTAGTCGAGTACTCACGATGATCATGGGCGTGTCCTCGGGGACCAGCACTTCCCGAACGGTGGCACGGAGGAACTGCTGCTGCACGATCGTGATGTTGACGCGGGCAGTGGATGTTGCCGCGTCCCACGTGAGAGAGAACACCTGCTGAGCCTTGGTCGTCGCGTACGAAACATTGTTATCGTCCGCAACGTTTTCCAAGAAGTCAGTGGTCACCACAGGCGAACCCACGAAGCCGGAGTCGCTGAAGATGGGGAATGTCGTTGCTGACTGACACGCGTCAGTCACAAACTGGAAGTTGGAGAGGCTGCCACCGGAAACGCCATCAAGACGCTCGACTTGGCTTGACAAATGTGTCGTTATGGCGTGACACACGCGCTGCAATGGAGACGGAGAGCCTGCGGAGGATGATACTGCTGGTGGTGTTTGCTGCAGCATCGCGAACACAGCGATGGCTGCTGCAATGACTCGAAGCCATGCAGCCGTGCGCATGTCAGTACGTTTGCGGTTCCCCATCGTCGCAGAGCAAACCACTCCAGAAAGAATGGTCGACAAGTTTTGTTGGGGAACAAAACGAGGCGCTGAGGCGAGAATGTGTTTTGGGTTGTCGCTTCAGCCACAAACAAGAAAAGCTCTTGTGGTTGTGTGGTGTGTTGTGCTTGTGACGAGACAATGACACACACGTTGTTGTGGTGTCTTCTGTTTTGTGAAATGAAATGACGAAACGAGCGGTGCATTCGAAGAAAAAAACAAAACCTCAGTGAACTTCGCACCCCTAAAGTCAGGGTTGGGTCAACAAACGCGACGCGCCGAGGCGCCTCTGAGTTTCCTTCAGTGGTTGTGAGTGCAGGAGTGTGTGTTCAAGTGCTCGTATTGCGCATGTCTTGCCTTCCGTCTTGAATGCTTCACATTGATTCTCTACAGTGGCCCTGTTGTTCCGTTCCGTCTTTTCGTGCGCTGTTCACAAGACGGCAGCAATACACAACAACAGCAACAGCTCGCATGGGCGTTGATCGATGGAGCAGCTGCGTCGATCCAGTTGGGGTTGAGGTAACTTGCTCTCTTGCTCTTGCTCGTGCTCATCATGGAGGCCAGCCGCAAGAAGACGAGAAGAGAAATCATCTCCTTCTTCACGCTGTGTGCGTTGTGTGCGCGTCTTCGTAAGTGCAGTGCGACACTGTGAGTGCTAAGCACCAAACGCAAGGGATCTTCACGATGAGGGGCATGTGCTGAGGTAGTGGTTGCACAAGATGTCGTGGATTGCATCACACGATGAGGAGCAAGTGCACAACATGATCGCAGACGCTGCGCGTTCACTGTGTTGGTTCGAGCCACGGCAACATGGAAGGAGTGCACGCGGCAAGGGTGGTGAGCGCACCAGTAAGGAACGTACAAGGTGAAAAGGAGAAGGGAAAGGATGACATGGGACAGAAGCAAGAATGGGTGAAGCAACAGCAGCAGTGGGTGCGCACAAAGTGGCTCCAGGGAGGCTAGTAGGGAGGAGGGAAGGGAGACAGAACAAAGTGGTGGAAGAAGAAACAGAAAGGCGCTGAAACACAGCCCACGAACAAGATCCAAGACGAGCAGGGAAGCAGACACACAAGCGGAGAAGTCAGCATGCACGAATGCACGTCTACAACATTTCTTCTGGGTCGATGACGAGCACAAACTCCGTGTTGGTGGGAGGAATGCAGTGGACAAGGCCATCCACAGCAAGCAAGCACGCCTCCTGATGCTGGTCGTTGATGTTGCCGTTTGACGCAAGCACGCCGCCAGCCCACTGCACTGCAGCCGGTCACGCTACTCGCTGCGTGTGGAGCTGTGTCGATGGCAAGCATCGTCGGCGTCGTCGAGTGATCTGCTGGCTGGAACATTGTAGATGAGGTCGTTGAATGCATGTGAGGTCGCCTCCCGCACCACGCTTCGTGGGATGCAGCCGTTGTGGATGACGCCATTTTCAGCTGGCATGCTTCATCAGACAGCTGTGTTGGTGGTTCTTGAATCAATCGAGGATAGTGGATAGAGTGTTGCAGTCGCTGATAAGGGGCCTTGTCTTTGTCTACAGCAAGGGATGATAGTCAGCATGTAGATGAGGCCGTTTATCGCTGGAATTGTGGTCGCTGCGTCGAACAGGGGTGGATGTCAGGGATCGACGATGAGCACAGATGCACGTCTCTGCGCACAGGTCAAGCTGTTGTTGTTGTTGTTGTTGTTGTTGTTGTTGGGCACGACACCACCCATGCCATGTTGCCGTATCGCGTGTGGTTGGATTAGGTCATGCACTTGGCTTGCCACTTGAGTGTGTCACATGATGGTGCGTTGTGTTTAAGAGGCCTCCTCGCCATTGGCTAATTGGTGCTCCTGCAGCACTGTGCTCCATTCTCTGCTGCAGTGGTGCAAGCACACCGTTCACGTCCACCATGCCCGTTGGCTGACTTGCGTCCATCAGTGGGATGGATGACTGGTGTTGATGCGTTGATGTGGAAGGGAAGGTGCCGACCTTCTTGTGTCAACCACAACTGTGATCCTGCCCATCAACCGCTTCGCTCGTTTTCTCTTGCACGACACATGATCCCGCCACCACCATGGTGCACCTTGTATGCTTGTCTGTGTCTGTGGCAAGAGCCATCAGTGACGCAAACGAGGAAGAAGGCGAACAAGAGCACAAATGGCGTCCACATGCGTCGCAAGCAAGAGAGCAACAGAGCGAGCAAGCACTGGCTGGCTTGTTGCGGCAGTGGAGAGTGTGTGCGACAACACAACAATAACTGCTGTGGTGTATTGTTGTGGTTTTTTCTTTTTCTTTGTGCTGCAGGGCGGGAAAGTGCTTCCAAATCTGATGGCAGGTGTTGCCAGAAACGCAAGGATTTTCCTTCTCTGTCAACATGGCAAGCAAAAGAAGGAAGCAAACAGCGCGGTGCGTTTTGTTGGTGTGAGCGCCACTTTTCGCCAACAAGAAGCAAAGGACAGAAAAAAGGACAGAAACCAAGCAAGCACCATTGCGTGGTTGGATGGTTTGTGGACGCGATCACAAAGAAGGCCTTCCTCGCGTTCACGCAAGCCAGCAAGCAAGCAAGCACCTCGTCGTTGTGGTGCAACAAGAGGGACAGCTCTACAGCTGCTGCGCGTGTATTATTGATCTGCTACACAAGCAGTGGTAGCCACTCCACGATGCAGTGGGCAATGCGACCGTGCTCTTTGTGTCGCACACATGGCGGTTCAAGAAGATGACACACGTGCTGAACGTGTTCAGCGTGCTGCTGTTGCTTTGAGAGTTTGCACATGAAGAAGAAGCAGGCAGGCAAAGGTAACAGCAAGTGGTGTGTGTGTGTGTTTGTGTTTGTTGTAGAAAGACAGTATGTATGCAATACACTCTACTCACTCCACTGACTGCTCCCACCCACCACAACCTTCCAATCCAATCCTACCACCTCTCCCACCACCCCCTGCTGCGATCAGGAAGCGTCTGCCACAAGAACCAACCTCACCCCCGACTCCCATGCAAGCACCTGCTCAAGGCTCGACCCCAAAGTACTCACAATGTAAGCCGGCTGCAGTCACGTGCCTGTTCATCACTTTTATTCCTCCTCGATCACACGCATGCGCACACTCATGCACACGCACACAAACGCACTCATGTGACAACGCCACCACTACCTGCAGTCATACAGCGTGGGCGACCGCAGGAGAGCAGACTGGGGATGAACGTGGTGGGAGCGGACGAGGAGGACAAAGAGGTCGTGCACGGAGCAGAGGACGTGGTAGAGAGGGTGTGCATTCACAGCAATCACAACAGCGTCACCACAATGAACAACGCGGCACCACTCCTGCAACCAGTGTTTGGGAGCGGCATCAGGCCCATTCCCACCAGCACTGCCTGCGCCTGCACACGGGCCAGCATATTCACCATCTCTGACGCATGCCATGATGCCGACATTGTCAACGACACCAACCATCACAAGCACATTGCGGCCGCTGCTGCGGGGTTGCAGTGCAGACGCCAGAACATGTCGACCTCATCTGCAGCACCGGCAACGACAGCAACAACAGCTGTGATGGCAGCAGAAGCAGCGGCGGCAGTAGGGCTTGTCCACCCTCCTTTCCGAACACGGTGCCGCCGTTTCCTCATGTCTGCGACGACGGCTACAGCCACATGGCCGTTCAGGGGCACCACTTCTGTCGCGGACTTGCTTGATGGCATCACCAGCATCCTAATCATCGTCCTCTTCACCCCATCACCGTTATCAACGACAACGACTGAAGCAGCAACGACTGAAGCAGCAGCGGCATCACCATGGGCAAACACTGCTGCACCACCAGTATCGCTCTCGGCGTATGTAGCGCTTGCAGACAGAGAGCTGGGGGCGGAGAAGATTCACATGCTCAGCTGTCGGTAAGCAATGCACATACCAGTATTGTGGTGTTTGGGGTGTGTTCAGCGCATGCTCGATGGCACGGTGATGTGTTCACTCACCCCTTTGTGTGTGTGTGTGTGTGTGTGTGCGGGTGTGTATGTGTGCGTGCTTTTGTGTGTATGTGTGTGTGTGTGTGTGCACGTCTCAGGCTGTGGCATCGAGGATTGGGCGGGCTCTTGAATCCAAGCGCGCTTCGGGGGCAGCGACGACGATGCTCGCAAACATGGCCGGTTCAAAGTAGCAGACAGGAGGCTTTTTGCTGCCCAGGTGTGTGTGTGTGTGTGTGTGTGTGTGTGTGTGTGTGTGTGTGTGTGTGTGTGTGTGTGTGTGTGTGTGTGTGTGTGTGTGTGTGTGTGTGTGTGTGTGTGCGTGTCTGTGTGTATGTGCGTGCGTGTGTGTGAATCGCCGCGCATGTGTCCGCATGCAGTTCGCCTTCTTTACTCTGTGACTCCCTCACCCCCTCACGTCCTCACGTCCTCTCCCGCGACGCACGCGCCTGCACTTGCATACAGCTACATCACGTTCCGGGCCACTGGGTGCTGTCTGCGTCATACGACGGCACGGTGTACGTGGCAGACTCATCAACGCAGTCCTCCACCGGGGAACAGACAGAGGTGTCTGGGGCACCAGCTGCGCAAGCTGGACAACACAAGCCACCCACCCCCACTTGGGTGTCACCACTGCGGAACCAGCACGATACAACCTTGCGCAAGGTTAAGAGTGAATCAGCTCGGCATGCATACGTGCAGCAGCAGCAAGCGGACAGTCACATCCCAGACCCTTGTGCGCGTTGACCGGGCAATCCTTGGCACGGGTCGCCAAATGTGTGTGTGTGGTGTGTGTGTGTGTGATGTGTGTGTGTGTGTATGTGTCTGTGTGTGTGCGTGTGTGTGTGTGTGTGTGTGTCTGTGTGTGTGTCTGTGTCTGTGTCTGTGTGTGTGTGTGTGTGTGTGGGTGTGCCCCGCTTCACTGCGGCTAGTATTCTTTGTGTCTATCGTTATTGTTTCGATGCGGTGTGCGCGTGGCACACACTGTCATGCCATCACTCGTGTGTGTGTGTGTCGAATCAACCCCATCACACAACAAGAACAACAACATGAAACCCGGCATTGGAGAACCGTTGTGATGTGACCTGGAAATTGGTCGCGAAGCCTTTTCTTGTTTGTTTGCATTTTTTCATTCGTCCGTGGCCCCACCACCCGACCGCCCTATCACCAACCCAGCCTTCAAGTTCGAGCATGGGAAACCAGCTGCAGCGACCAGCCCTGACTTCAGGGGATCAGAAAGAGGGGAATATCGCGCGCGCCCGAGCGATTGTTGTGCTGTCGTTTCTGGCAGACACATTGTGTTGTCGACCACACGAATTGGCCGACCTTGTGGCAAACCTGTTTTCCGCAGCCACACCCAAGGCCTTCAAGGCGGCTGCCACGAAGCTCGCACAGAACATATGGCTTCGCCTCTTTCAACTTCCCCGCCTGTGCATGATTCACATGGCCATGTTTGCGCTCGTGCTTGCGCTCGGTGTTGTTGTGGTCCAAGACTTCCGCGGACCCCCAGAGGCAAACCGGTGGTTCACCGCCTTTGTGCGAATGCAGAACATCTGGCAGGATCCCAACATGTCGCTGGCGCGCAAGGCCTTGCATCTCGTGCAAACTGGTGCTTGGCTGTGTGCCAGTGCAGTGTGGGCGGCCGTCATCGTCATTTCCCCGGTGCTGCAGGACTGCGTGCAACACTTTGTGTTGTTTGTGAGGGATGCCCTACCCCAACTCGTATCTGCCCTTCAGCAGGCCATTGGTGATCAGCGCCGTCCCCTCGCCCTGCGCGTCTAATGGACTGCACTGGAGGCCGAGCGAGCCAGAAGTGCTGTGGAGCCCTCAGCATAAGTCACCCGCGCCCGTTTCACAATATCTTGCTCGCTTTGTTTCATGCGGTGTGTGTGTGTGTGTGTGTGTGTGTGTGTGTGTGTGTGTGTGTGTGTGTGTGTGTGTGTGTGTGTGTGTGTGTGTGTGTGTGTATGTGTGTGTGCGGTCTTGTTCCTCTTCAATGTTGGCGTTGGTTTCGCTCGTCTTATTCTTTGAGTACACGAAAAAGAATACAAGAGCACTCGTACCACACCCAAGCTGGGCAGAGTCAATCAAGCAAACAGTGCCTGCAGCGCACTCTTCATCACAACCAAGGGAGATGAAAGTGACGAGATGAACTTTTCCAACCACCAACCCTCGGACAACCGGGCGTCCAACCCTGCCCAAGCAACCCCTCCAACCACAAACGCTACGTTTGCACAAAGCACAGCACAACGGCAACTTGGAATGAACGTCACAATGAACTTCCACACCAATGTAGAGAAAGCTTTTGCACCAAGAAGGCGCGCCAGTTCTGCAATCCACGCATCCCTAGCCTTGGTGGGCAAGTGGCTTCGCATACAATGGGGAAGTTGGTCGAGAATCCAGTCCCAGCACGCATCCCAGTAAGCCGGATTGTTGCTTCGGAAGCTGTTGAGAATGTCAACAATTGCATCCACAAAGTTGTCATTCAACCCTTCCGGTACACGTGCAGGTGCTGCATCTTGCTCTGCTCTTTCTCGTTGCTCGGGATCACGAGCTGCCTGAGCCAGGTCATCGGGATCCAGTGGCGCACGCTCCTGTTCTCCTCTCTCTCGTTGCTCTCGGTCTTGCACGACGGCTTGCCGCCTGCGCAGCGCGGGCACTTGCCGATCCATGGTTGGTGTGTGTCGCACTGACAGCTCTCGTCGAGTTATTGGCGATGATGACACACCAAAACAAAAAAGTGTGTGTTTGTGTGGTGATATTGTATTGGGGAAAACTCGCTGAAATCTTACACTGCTCCCAGCGCTCAGAGATGGGGAAAGCAATTGCAGCAAACAAAGGGCAACGGTGTGCATGGGCAAATGTGTGTGAGAGCAGGCGCCGCATAGATAGAAAGAAAAGTAAATCAATAGATAGATAGATAGATAGAAACCAAGTGCCTCGGTGCGAGGCTCATGTGTAGTGCTGCGACTGTCGCTTAGACAGTTGCAGGGGGCTCTGTTGGGGCTACGTGAGGTCACTGCGGCGCTGTGTGGCTGTCCCTCATCGTTGTCGGTGGTGGTGGCAGCGGTGTCGTTGTTGTCGTTGTTGCTGTCATTGCTGCGTTGGCCGCTGTGGTCGGGGGGTGTGGTCTGCGGATGCTTGCGCTTGCGGGTGCGCTTGTCCTGTTGGTGGTTGCGCTGGGCTTGAGCGCGCGTCCGCTGTACCGTCTGGGTGCTCTGGCGGGGAGTGCGTGTGTCTCTCTCCCGGACCGAGCCCGGCTGGTTTTTTGCCCCGCTTGTCGTGAGGCATCTGGCCGATGCACCGGAGGTTCGCGTAGCACTCAGCCTTGCATCTCGCGATGGACAACACTTGCCGCCAGTACGTGCTGCTGTGCATGGAGGTACAAGTGCGCACGTGTGGTGGTGTTTGTGGGTCCGTCGTGGACATAAGGTCGCTGCTGAAGAACTTCCGGAACTTCGAGCCCCAGGCGCCCGAGCCAGCCTCGATCGCAATCGGCACAAATGTGAAGTCGCCCTGGTCGGCGTAGGATGGGCCTGGGTACTTCTTGATCTTGCGTTGTTTCCGCCTGCGACGCCGCGTAGAGGTTGACTTTGGCGGCCTGTGGTTGGTACGACCTGCCCGCGGGGGGGGGGGGGGCAAACACGAGGTCAAACACGGTGTAATCGCCAGACTTGTCGAAGCTGAGGATGTCACCGCGCTTGCCGCCTGCGCCTGGGAAGCCGGAGGGCTCTTGTGTCGCGCGGCGGTTGAGCTGCATGAAGGCCCGGGAGATGGCGCTCTGCATGTAGTCGTGCCGGCCCGTTCTTGTGGAGTCGCAGACTTCTGCGTGGTCCAGCTTCATCTCACGCCCGCAGCAGTAGCAGCTGCCTGATGCGCGCGACTCGGAACAAGGTGTCCGAATCCGCTGGCTAAGAGCAAACCGAAACACCTTGTCCGACATCCGCAGGTCCTTGCAGCTGGGCAGGGCCAGGAGCCACTCGTAGCCGCCGTGCAGGCTGGCTCCTCGTTGAATGGCTCGGTTGCGTGGGTTCTCGTCCCAGCCCGCCTTCCTGTCCATGATCTGGGCCAGGAACTGCTGCAAGCTGCGAGCGTCGTGGTTTAGAACGTCCCTCGTGTCACGGGGACCGTCGTCGCCGAGGTGCAGATCCGCGATGGCTTGTGCTATCTCCGTCTCCAACTCGGCGCCCGGCGTGGTGTATGCTTGGAAAGGGTGGTGGGGGCTCTTGCTGAAGCTGCAGAGTTGTTGCTGTTGTTGCAGAAGTTGGTGTTGTAGTTGTTGTTGTTGTTGTTGTTGTTGTTGTTGTTGTTGTTGCTGTTGTTGTTGTTGTTGCTGTTGTTGTTGTTGTTGCTGTTGTTGTTGTTGTTGCTGTTGTTGTTGTTGTTGTTGTTGTTGTTGTTGTTGTTGTTGTTGTTGTTGTTGTTGTTGTTGTTGTTGTTGTTGTTGTGGCCAGTGTGGCTGCTGCGGCTCGCCCGTGTCATCACAATTGTCTCCGCCCACGTCGATCACATCACCGCCATCGAAACCCTCTTCGAACGCAGCACCTTCAATCACCACCACCTCCTCTTCCCCCTCCACACCATCGCTCCTGTCATGCACCACAACCACCTCGCCGCTTGTGGCAGAGAAGGCCATTCGATCCTCTTCTCTTGTCGGCTGCAAGTGGAGGGACCGTTGCCTCTGCAAGACAAAAAGGCAGCGTCGCTGGTGGAGTGGCGACTCAAGGCCGTTGTCGTCGTCGTCATTGTCGTCGTCGTCGTTGTCGTCGTCGTTGTTGTTGTTGTCGTCGAGTTGTGCCTCTTGTAGCAGCTTCATGAGCAGCGCCTCCACAACATCTGGCTCCCGATCAGCCACGCACTGCAAGTACCACGTGCGCAGCTGGTGTACCGTCATGCTGACGCTGTTCAAGTCGAGTGGATGCAGGCCAGCAGCCAGCAGTGTGGCGTAAGCCAGCGCAAACAGGCCACACGACACACTGTCTTGCTGCTGTGGCACATCCCTGAGGTGCACGACGTGGTCTGCCTCGATGTTGTACAGCTTGCGCAGCTGGTGGCCCAGGCACCGCTGTCTGTCCTCGGTGGAAGACTGCGTTGATGAGTCTGCCACGTACACCGTGCCGTCGTATGACGCAGACAGCACCCAGTGGCCCGGAACGTGATGTATCTGCGAGCAAGTGAAGGCGCGTGCGTCGCGGGAGAGGACGTGAGGACGTGAGGGAGTGAGGGAGTCACAGAGTAAAGAAGGCGAACTGCATGCGTACACATGCGCGGCGATTCACAGACAGACAGACAGACAGACAGACAGACAGACAGGCACAGGCACACAGACACAGACACAGACAGACACAGGCACGTACACAGGCACGCAGACACGTACACAGGCACGCAGACACAGACACAGACACAGGACACACGTACGCACGCATACACACGCACAGACACGCACTCATGTACACAACTACACACATGCACGCACACCCATGCATACACATGTGCATACACGCAGATATGCACACACCTGGGCAGTAAACAGCCTTCTGTCTGCTACCTTGAACCGGCGGTGGTTGCGAGCATCGTCGTCATTGCCCTGAAGCGCGCTTGGATTCAAAAGCCCGCCCAACCCTCGATGCCACAGCCTAAGACGTGCACACACACACGCATACACACACACACACACACACACACACGCACACGCACACACACACGCACGCACACACAGGGGTGAGTGAGCAGATAGGACGTCACGTCATCGAGCATGCGCTGAACATACCCTAACCACAGCACACTGAAACACTGATGGTGATGTGCATAGCAGTCGCTTACCGACAGCCGAGCATGTGAATCTCGTCCGTCCCAAGCTGCCTGTCTGCAAGCGCTGCATACGCTGAGAGTGATACTGGTGGTGCAGCAGTGTTTGCCGATGGTGCTGCGACCGCTGCTGTTGATGACGAGGATGACGACGACGATGATGATGAGGGAGAGGATGAAGCGTAAGCTTCCGCTGGTGTTCACGTGCTCTTCATTGTGTGTGTGTGTGTGTGTGTGTGTGTGTGTGTGTGTGTGTGTGGCTGTCTTGTCTTTGTGTGCTTGCACCTGCACACGCTGATCTTTTCACCCGCTTCGCGACATTGTCACCAGCCTTCTTGCTTGCTGGCTGGAGAAACAAAGCAAGAAAACATGTATCACCAAGCAAGTAACGCGGTGCAAAACAGTGCGAGGTGCAACGAAGGCGATAGTGGGAAGCAATAAACAACGCCCAAACACAAGCTCCAGTGCGTTTGCGAAATGAGTTGGGCCATGCAACCAACACACACACACACACACACACACACACACACACACACACACACACACACACACACACACACACACACACAGACACACACACAGACACACACACACACACACACACAGACACACACACAGACACACACACACACACCACTATCGTCGCCTGAGGTAGGCGAGGATTTCCTTGTACTCTGGTTCCTCCACGGGAATCTCGCACGCCTTGAGCGTGGGGAAGAGCCACTGCTCCAAGACGACCTTTGGCGTGAAGATGGCGCGTTCTTGGAGGTCCGAAGGCTTCACTACTGGACCAAGGTGCGGTGCAAAACACGTCAGGCATGTTGAGAACGCCTGCTTGTCTTCAGACGCGCGTTGCACTTCGACAGTGTGGAGGCCAGACTCCTTGTCGATGGTCACGTGTGGATTGGCGCCTCCTAGGGTCAGCTGTATCTTCTTCCGCAGGATATCGTGCAGCTCTTCCTGTGTACGCAACGGTGTCTGCACCACGACAACCCAGAACACAAAACAGACCCATGCAGTGAGAAGCGTCAGAAGATACTGTCGTACGTGTACGCACACACACACACACACACACACACACACACACACACACACACACACACACACTCAGCGGCACTCGCTCTCTGGCTAGCCTCACGCACACGCGTGTGCGTGCATGCATGTTGACGTGTGCTTGTGTGTGCGTGCGTGCACCCAGTCAATGACACGACTCGTACCAAAGGGCCAAGCTCCTCGAAATCATCATATCCGTCATCATCATCATCATCGTCGCCATCGTCCACTGGAGAGGTCACCTCGGCTGCAGCAGAGTCTGGTGACTGAGCAATCGGCAGTTCATCCTGTTGTTGCTGAAGAGGGCGCGGGAGCAGCAAGTCCGCCTTGTTCAAACACAGCAAAATGGGCACCTGCATCCATGTCACGGGTGGTGGGTGACGAAACATCAATGCAGGTCTCAAAGTGGCCTTGAGATATTTGAGTTGCACACACATTCACACACAAAACCACACGTACACACACACACACACATGCACGCGCACACACACACACACATGCACACATTCACACACACATTCACAAAACAGTTCGTACCTCTCGTCGGAGAGCTGCCAGGAGTGCGTCCTTGACACGTGCGGTGTTTGGCTTGTCTGCCTCAACGACGAAGATGCAGGCATCGACGATCGAATAGTGCGCAGCAAACGCCTCCTCGACCTGTAATTGGATGGATATGCAAAACAACCGAGATGTCGAGACATGTGAGGGAGCCAATACATACACCGCAACACGTCAAACGCTATTCGCCCCTTTCAACAACATCATCAGCAACAACAACAACAACAGCAGCAGCAGCAGCAGCAGCATCAGCAGCAGTAACTACAGGCATGCCACACCTTCTTGGTTGCGTCGTCGCTGCCCGGAAAATCAACAAAGACAAAGTGCCGGGCGGCGGGCCACTTGTAGAACTCAATGCGCGTCGAGTTGACGGCAGAATCGGGGTTGGACTTGAATTTGAGCCGAGAGAGGAACGTGCTCTGAAGTGAAGAACGCATGTCACGCATGACGCCAGGGTGGAGTGAACAAATGAGTGTTTGCAGGAGTTCGCAGACGCATTGGAAGCGCCTCCCATGCAAGCTCATGCACACACGCGCACGTACACACAAGCACACACCTTGCCCGTCTTGGTGGTTCCGACAACGCCAAACATAAACGTGCCGGCGAGCACTTTTCGCAGGCGGAAGATGAGCCACACGTCGCGGAGGAACAGCAGCGCCCGCTTGCGCGCTGTGTCGTCGTCTGTTACGTTGTACAGGGGATCGCCTTGCTTGAGCTTGGAGAAATACTTGGCCCGGAATTCCGCAGACATGAGGGCGGCTGGGTCGATGCTGTGGCCCACAATCACTTTCATCTTCTGCGCAATCCCCTTTTGCACAATGGCCTTCTCAGCAAAGTACGTTGGGTCCAGCGGCAAATCCTTTTCCTCATCTAGTCCAAGTAGTTGAAGCATTAACTGTTTTGGTACCATAGCAGTGGGTGATTTGCGTGTGCGTGTGTACGTTGGTGCATGTGCAGTACACGTGTTGTGAGCTGTGTGCTGACATGCTGCGAATGAAAATGCAATGGCGTCCATGCATGCACGTGCACACATACTTTGTTGCACACGCACGCATGCAAACACCAACGAGCAAACACGCACGCACGCACGCACACACACACACACACACACACACAAGCACATCAACACACGCACACAAGCATGCCCACAACACCACACCTGAAGATTCTTCTGGTATTCCGCCTGATTCTCGTTGAGTTTTGCGAGAACTTTGCCAAGTACGCCAGCAAGCAGAAAAGCACTGACGCTGCCTGTCAGCATGGTAAGGCCGCCAACCTCCAAACTCAGGTCATAGATGCCCGCAACAATCCCAAGAAGTGAAAAGACGGCGAGGCCAGCCATGACGATAGTGATGGCAGTGGTTAGCGCGATAATGCCAGGCCCCTTCTTCACGGCAATGTCTGGATACCCCGTACGCGCGAGCACGTCCAGTGTTGACCACGAAACTGCCCGCAGCGCATCCTGTGCACACGTGCTCTTGTCACTCCGGAACCATTCTGAGGCGCGTTTGTACGGCAACCGTTGTTCGTGCCTGTCTGCATATGTTTCTCCAGCGGGTGGATCATACACTTGATACTTGCGCACTTTCAGGAACACCATGAACCACGTACAAAATCGCACGTGGACCAGCAACTGATGTGAATTCACATAGAAGCGTTCCACAGGAAGAACCCAAGCATCTACACAGGAACAATTCCTGCGCAGGCCTTGTTCCGATGAAACGCCCACACCAAACCCACGGCAACAACGCAACCACACATACTCGCACAAACAAACACACACAAACACACACATCCTCACCTGCATCCCTCATTTTATCCGCAAAAGCCTTCGCGTTGGTGGCGTCCCGCCCAAGCACCTCCTTGCTTGCGTCTGTCAAAGCACCGAAACCTCGGCCTCCACCCTCTTGTTCGGCCATGACTTGAATCGCCTTCTGCAGTGGCTTTGTGCGCTCGTCCTGGTACTTGAGTTCTTCGATCGAAATTGTGGAGCCAACGACTTCGCGCAGGGCCGCTGCAGCCTCGTCCTGGTCACTCTCGTGCCACCGCTTCGCAGCCGGTGTTACTTCGCCTTCCTCCAGCTCAGTCAGAATTCTAAGCACCTTTTCTTGTTTTTCCTTGTCGTCTGAGAACAGGGTGAGCAGAAAAGCCTGCAGAAGCCACATGCGAGTATAGGTGATGGCCGAAACGCCTGTCAGCGTTGGAGGTTTGGTAAATCTCACAGATCAGTGGAGCACACATCAATGCACCACACACGCCTCCACACACACACAGACAGACACACACACACACACAGACACACACACACACAAACTGCACCATACTTGGTTGATGACGTCGTGACGTGAGAGCTTTGCGGCCTGCGCCAGCTTGCCAAACAAGGGCAACTTTGAGAGTTGAGTGACATCGACAGGCACTGTGCTCGCAGGCGCTGTGAATACGGTGTAAAGTCGCACATCAAACACGGCCTTTGCCTGTTGTGTCGTGCATGAAATCGTCACCTCCAGCCGCTTGCCTCCGTCAAGAATCACTGGCGTGAACTCGCAACTATGTCCATCAAGGGAGCTTGTCACGTGCGTGACAAACGCAAACCCGTCGCCAGTGAATGTGAGATGGTGCTGTTGGCTGTTGGCTGTCGACGTCGTGCTCGAGTGGTCTGACTGGAACATCAACTTCCGAGGGGCGGAGAAGTCGGGATGCTGGGTGAACGTTGGGACTTTGGACGTTTGTTGCGGATACCATGCGTGTCGATTGAAGTGGTGGCCCTGGCAATAGTGGTCCAGAAAGTGATGTTTGAGGAGCTCTGCCTTCAGCTGCGGAAGTGTGTCGTTCTTGAACAAAGCGGCGTGGATCTCATTTGGGTTGTTGTATGGCTTCCATTGTGAGTCCTCATAAATCAGGTACGTGCCAAAGGGCGAATAGTCGCACTCCACACATTGCTTCACAAGGGAATGAAGACAGCTTGCAAGTGTCACCCAAAGACTCCCTGTCGCATTTCGCGAGAAGACGGACATGATGCCATCGAAGAACGAGCTGTGGGTCTCTGGTTGGTTGAAAGCCTTGTTCAGAACTTCCGTGACAAGTGACGACCGCGTACGAGCATCTGCTTGGGAGCTGAATGCACGGGTGAGCAACGTCAGCACGCGTGGGACAATGTCGTTGTTGTACACGTGGAACCGGCAGTTGCTGTGAGCCACGTCAGCACCACCAATCTCCCGCTCGAACTGCTGCGCGAAAGCCCTGTCTCCGACAAGAGGTGCGCCAAACGTCACCACGTGCACGTTTCTGCGGTCGTCACGCTGGTGGCACTCAAGCAGCACGCGCAACGCCACCAGCTGTGCCAGCGCACCGCCGAGCGAGTGGCCGCAAAACACCAAGCGGTACTTCTTTTTGTCACCTGGACTGCCATGGAGCAACCGCACAAATGGCTCGACGGGGATCTTCTCAGCCACGTGAAGAAACCCCACATGCACACGGCCCTCGATGGCCCCGCTCATCGGAGGAAGGGCAAACGCCGTCATGTCCGTCATGGCGTGTTGCAGCGTCTGCGTGCTCTGGAAGCAGATGTACACTGGGGTTGTGTCTTCGCCGTTGAGTGGATCGTCGCTGCCAAACGCGACGGTAAAGTGGTGACTTTCAGCGGCATTGCGTGTGAAGGCAACCTCCTTCAATTGGTGGTATCCGTCGCGCTTGTCGAGATTTTGGTTGAAATGCCGTTGAATTGCCACTTCTTGATTGCTGCCCCCGTTGCTCAGGCATTGCGCCAACAGGAGACACATGTCGGTGTCTCGACGGCGTATGACATCTGGAGGTAGCCTGGGCACGTGTTGGAACACAAGCGTCGCAGGATGGCCTCGGACTAACCACACAGGTGTACAAGCAACGTCATTGTGAGCGCGTCAAGACGATGTTCATAGCGTGCATGGGCTGGTGGTAGGGAGGTGTCGATGACAGTTCATACTGTGGGTTATTGGGGGGAGAGGCAGCACGATGAGGCGTCAGCAAGCATGAGATGAGCAACAATTGACTTACGCCTCTGCGCAAAGGTTTGGTCCATGAGACGGGCGGGAGTCACTGGCTCTGCGCTCACGAAACGTATTACGGCGACATCCACACCTAAAGATGCTTCATTTGCCTTCACAGGATCTCCTGCCTCAACTCTTGTGAGCACATGGCCACACCGCACGCCTTCTTCAAACAGCCTTGAGCCTACCAAAGCCAGTGCGCGAGCCAGCACCGTGAACAGGGTTGAGGGAGGGAGGGAGTACGTGAGTGCGCGGACACAAGGGATACAAACAGACATGGGTCGGTGGAGGCGTTGGCGTAGCAAGCAGTGGTGTACCTTGATGGCAGAATGTGACCACGTGTCGCTCGCCGTCCCGCATCAGGCCAAACGTCGACACAGCCTGCTGCAGGTCGTCCACTGTCACTCGCGTCACAGTCGCTGTGGTGGTCATGGCTGGTGTTGTCAAAACAGCAAGCAATTTTGCAGTGCTGTTGTTTGACAAAGCATGAATGATGCATGCATGATGGAATCGTCAAGTCCACTCCGACTTCAAACCCAAAACACGGTGTGGCGCACTGTTAGAGTGTGGGAGTGTGACATGACATGATGTGACTGTGCTCATCACTGTGACTGTGTCGTCGTGACCAACACCAACACTTCCAACCAAAACCTTCGGAGGTCGACTCTGACACCGAGGGGGCACGAAGTGCAGAATTTTTCGTCGACACGGCAGGAAGTTTTTCAAAAAAGGAGGATTGCACACGCGAACGAAATCTCGCGTTGTCCTGCCAAACTTAGAATGGGGCGAGCAACAACAATGTTCGGTGTACATGTGCGTGTGACTGTCGTTGGCAAAATTGAGTGCAAGAGCAAAGTAACTCCTACCACTTTGGCAACAACTGCGACTCGAGTTTCCCTGAAGCTGGGGGGGAGGGCAATTGCCAAGGTATTGAAACTTTCCCCTTGCTTGTCTGAGGGATTTATTACCGCAGGCGCTTGCTAAATTCTTGATGTTTTCTACCACCACCTGCGGAACTCGCCCGTGTTCGTGACCAGATTCGGTGCACCGTTGCAGGGTGTGATTCTTTCTCATTCGAACCAGTAAATTTTCTTTTGCCTCTAACTTTCGTCACATCAACAATTTTAAAAATTGAATAAGTTCCCGACACAAGCAAGAAAGGCAAGAATGGTGACCAAATTGTCATGTCGGAATTCCACGAAAGAAAGTCTGCCTGGGGCTGGCTGGTAATCAACATCACACATTCCTCGGTCAGACGCTAACGGGAACCAGAACCAACCGCACAAATGCCCGCCTTGTGCTTGTCTTTGCTTTTGCTCGTGGTTGTGACCACGATGCTCACGGCCAACGTGGCCAGTGATCCATATTTGGCTGTTGACTCGAGTGGAAACCTTCATCTCAACACAAGTCAGCCACACCAAGATGTGCTTGTGAATGGCGTCAGCGTGAAGCAAATGGCCCGTGATATCCAGACCCTCAAAACGTTTATCCAGCATCATTTCACGGAAACCAATGGTGACTTGCGCATCAACACCTCCCCCCCCCCAAATCAGAACGTTTTCATTAACGACTTGAACGTCAACGAACTTGACAAGGACGTTCGTCAGCTCAAGTCAGAACAGGTCCCACCCCACATGATGATCGTCGGTACAGGTATTCGCACGCAGTCTGGCTGTGGCAACTTGCTGGGCTCGATGTTCGAAAACGAAGCACATACTTGCGAGTGCAGACGAGGTAACTTGCAGACGAGCGTTTTCTTCTTTTCCAGCAACGGCATATGGAGAAGCCTTGCCATGTGCCTTCTGTAACATGCAAATGTATCGGCATCACGTCACTTGCTGTCCTTGTCGCTTGCTGCAATCAATACACTGAGCGAGTCGCCTTTTTTGCTTCACGCACTCGGTATGAGATCATCGCGCTGTTTGGTGCCAAGTGGGGAGGGGTGCGCCCGCAAAAGCTGAAGGGCTGATGGCGGTACAGGGGGCGTTCAATTGAGTGCAGGTGTGATGGGTTGTGAGTGGGCAAAATGGGCTCTGCCAGTGGTTATCATCGTTTGGAAGTAAACGATGAGGTGGAAGAAGGTAGCAGCTGCAGCACACATTCGGAAGCACGCAGTGGTTCGCTGTCTGTGCGGGTGATGGTGATGGGAGCAGCAACTGATGCTGTGTGCAGTGTGGAAGCGACAGTGCTGTTGTCGTCGTCGATCCACAACCAAACCAAGCCAACGTGCGCGACAGCACAAAGCACAACAAACAAACCCCACTTCATGTTTTCTATTCTGCAGTCTGGCCAAATCCACTCGCGTGTGTGTTGCCAAAAGTGCCAGGTTTTTCACCCTCTTGGGGATTATTGCAACTTTACCGCAGGCGCTCGCTAAATTCTCAATGTTTTTTGTTTCTACCGTTTCGGAATTTGCATGTGTCAAGGCAGCGCAAAGGCGGCGCAGCCGCCGGTTAGGGAAAACCCTGTGCGACAAATCTGGTTCGGGTAGCGCAGCGATGCGGGAGCGAGCGTAGCGGTTAGCGGGGGTAGGGCTTCACAGCATGCGATTTGAGGGTTAGTGGACACGCCTCGAGCTTTTGCGCGTGGTCACGAACCGGCAATGCTCACTTCGCAACCGTAGTTTAGCAATGGTCACCGGTAATATTTTTTAAAACCCCTTCTCTTGCAAAGCAAATCATCGCAGGGCAATTAAATTATTCCAAGCGAGGAAGGAAAGTGTTTGCGCAGAAGGAAACAAAGCCAGCAAAACTGGGAATCCTTTCCTTCCCTGGTGTATTGTGTTGTTATTCTCTTGTGTGCTTTTTCTTTCTTTCACTTCCTTCCTCACTGTCCTTCCTTCCGTGTCAACATGCGACCTTCTCCTCTCCCAGCTGCTGCTGCTGCTGCTGCTGCTGTTCGCCCTCATCATCGCTGGGCGCTGTTCTCGCTGTTGCCACCACTGTTGCTGTTGTTATTGGCAGGCTAGTCGGTGACTCGTGTCCATGGCAGCGGCTGCTTGAAGGATGCTGTGAGTGAGAGAGTGTGTGTGTGAGTGTGTGTGAGTGAGTGAGTGAGTGAGTGTGTGTGTGTGTGTCTGTGTGTCTGTGTCTAGCTTCTTGCTCTTGTTGTCCTTGTGTTTTGGTTCTTTGCCACAACGTGCCTTCTGCTCTGTTCACGGTTGCACTTGCAGCTGCCACCGACTCACACCTCCACATTCCCACCTCTCTCCACCTCTCCACGTCCGTTTCACAGCACCAAGGAACGCACGCTGTCCCCTCCGTGGACGCAACTTTGAAACACCTGGTAACAGCGCTCAAGGAGCATCGCGTGCCGTTCGCCACAGCGCAGTTGCGTCCACGAAACACTCCTTCCACCACGATTGATCTGTCATCGATCAACGCATGATGAACGCCTTTGGATGCAACAGCAACGGTGTTGAAGGGAAACCAGCTCCCATCAACGGCAGACCATCTCAACCAGACACGGCATGCGCTGCCATCCTCAGGAGCGCGCAACCACACCCCTCATGCACACGCGTGCGCCGCGCTGATAGCGACGAACAACGTGCTGGCCAGTGCACCCTGCAAAGCATCATTGATGGCTCGTGCCCTGGAGCCATGGAGCTGACATCAATGGTGTACTGTTCCTCACGGTTTCTGGCCACGAGGCACGTGGGCGAGGAGTTGATGTTGGTCAGCACATGACGCGACAGAAGCGTTGAGACAATGACTGTGTGGGATCTGAAGCAGCGATTGCTGCGCGATGTTCTGATGTTGTGAGTGGCCTGAGTGACATGGCCTTTATCCACAGCCTCGAACAGCTGCACCGGTGAGTGGGATATTTGTGAGTGTGTGTGTGTGTGTGAGAGAGAGAGAGAGAGAGAGAGAGAGAGAGAGAGAGAGTGTGTGTGTGTGTGTGTGTGTGTGTGTGTGTGTGCAGGCGCGTGTTTGCTGCTCACCCTTCATCTCCACCCACCCATCCACCACCCACTATACAAGGACTCGAAGAGCGGCAACGTGCTGGTGTCAGCTTCGCTTCGCGCCAAGATTACGGACTTTGGGTCCATTCGCCAGTGCTTCACACGACACAAAAACCAGCACCAGCAGCGCACAAGTCTCTCTTCCAGCCATGATGATTACCCTCAGTACAGCCAGCAGGCTGGGCTGCAGACGATGACCAGCATAACGCTGACGGCTGGTGTGGGTACGCCACTGTACATGGCACCAGAGGCACTGACGGGCGACAAGTACAGCTTCGAGGCAGACGTGTTTAGCTTTGGCGTGCTGATGTGGGAGGTGGGGACGCAGCGACAACCTGATCTGATCGAGCAGGAGAAGGGGAGTGGGTATCGGGGACCAATCCTCGCCACCATCAGCAACCTGATGAAGGATGGGAAGCGGTTGCGATTCGAGGATGGTGAAGAAGATGGTGAGTTGTGTGTGTGTATGTGTGTGTGTGCATGTGTGTGTCCTTGGATTGCTTGCACGTCCTCTCTTCTCACTCACACACACATGCACACCACTCTCTCCTTAGCCATCCCCGAGTGGTTCCAGTCGCTGACGTACAAGTGCATGGCGCAGAACCCGCGTGAACGACCATCGTTTGGAGAACTCAAGGACCACCACTTTGCTTGATTGCACGTGCGTGTGTGCGTGCATGTGCACTCGCTTGCTCGTTTTGTGTACGTATGAGTGAATTTGTCGTCAGCATGCATGTATTGCGGGGTTTGGAACGACGCAAAGTGCAAGCAATGAACCAACACCAACGCAAAGACAAACCAACACAACGCCATCAACTTCAAGGCATGTCACATTTCATTCTATGATGGTCGGCAACGTCGTTCTGCACGTGCTGCGCTGCATCTCCTTCTTCAGCGCATACAGCACACCCTGCCACTGCACGTTGCAGCCACCACTTGAGGAAGCGTCGCACATCCACCTCCACCACCTCCTCCTGCGTCAGCCACATAGCAGCTGGAACTCAACATCTGCGCGGTCCAACATGAGTGCAAGCAGCAGGTTCAGCATCATGGAGATGACACACAGGACGCGCAGCAGCCACCACCACCACTGTAGCCGCCGTCAAAGGTATCCATAGCTCAAATGCCAGCAGCAGCAGCAGCATGTTGTTGAACACGAGCAGCACCCCGTTGGCCGACAACGTGTTGTCGTTGAGCAGCAGAATCAACCGGAACGACGTACACCCAGCCACGATGCTGATGCCGAGGACGAGCAGAGCAGGGAAGTGGCGCATGTCGAAGCAGATGGACCAGGATCATGCGCTGGCTGGAGCGGCTGCAGGCAGCACCGCAGTGGAAAGGAACGTGGGAGCGTGCTGGGAAAGGGTGCGTGCTGGGAAGAGTGCGTGTTGGGAAGGGTGCGTGGTGGGAAGAGCACGTGCCACGCACCGCAAACACCAACACCACATCCATCACTTCCAACCAGCCGTGACTGCCGCACCTCCTGCACCATGTCCACAATCAGCCAGCACGCCAAGCGCCAGCATGGTCACCACCGACTTGTTGTCACCAACTCCCAGCAGCAACTGGGCCACGTCGTTGCCACTGACGAAGGTGAGGGGCTGTGATAAGGGCGACGGTGAGCATGTACCACGCCGCCTCCAACGGGAACTGGCGCTCACGCAAACAATGAAGCAGCCAAACAGCTCTGTATCGCCCGTTGACTGAAAACCGTCATTCACAAAACCAGCTGCACGCGCCAAGTGGCACCACACGCGCCCCAGCGTCCTCAAGCTTGGCCAGCTCACCAGACAACTTCACCAGGTTGTGCCAAAACGCGCGGCTGCTCATCTCGCTGATGAATGTCCTGTCTGCACCGGTGAGACGATGATGCTCGCTGCTGGCGGTTGTACTGCTTGTCGGCGGTGAACGTTGCAAGCTCAAGCCCACTTGGAAACGTGCACACAAGCAGAATGACGTCTGCCACGAGTGTGTGCGTCAGGAACGACGCGCGCAGTGACCAGGGCTTCACTGCCTGGGCTTGTTACCCTCCGAGGTTGAAGAAGGCCCTGATGGCCTCACACACCTCGTCCACGATGAACTGCTCTGTGTTGCAGTCAAGCTAGGGCACACTGGTGGAGGTGCAGATGGCACGGAGTGCGGGCGCGTGGCTGGTTTTGCTGGCCGCAAGCGACAACAGAGACAGCGGCGTGGCTGTCCGTGCGTCCTCGACGGGTGGCATATCACGGTGGCAGGGAATATGCGCACAGGGCTCGCTGCAGCTTAGCAACGCTGCCCACGTCAATTCGACGGGAGGTGATTGGCAGCTCAGGGCACAGCCTCGACGTGGTGGGTGACAAAGGCAACGGCACCAAGCATCGCGCCTTGGATCAACCTAGATGGCCAACAGGGCAAATTGCGACGGCCGTTGTGTTGACCTTGTTGAAGCTGAGCACACAATACGCAGCCGGCACCGCGAAGCTCGGCCATACAGGAGAACGTGCTTTGCGTCGCGTGTTGATGCGGCTGACTCGAAGCTTGCACTGGCCGGCGTGGTGCTGAATGATGGGCTGCCAGCCTCGCATGCTCCACAGCACAATGGCAACACTTGTCATGTTCCACTGCTCCAGGGTGTACGTGGTCAGGACGCGCTCACCATCGCAGGGCTGGTACACACCCCCGCTGTTGCCTCTGATCGATTGTGCTGGCCACCAAACGGGGACTTCAAGGCCGCACGACAAGGGCTTGTCCAAGTCCCAAACACTGTGCACCACCGTAACCGGCAGCGAGCACGAGTGTCCTGCTGCAAGAGGCTGTGGATCAGGGACACGCGCGACGAGTAGGAGAAGGAGGAGGTCAGGCTGTACACAGCCCAAAACACAGGCCTCCCTCACAAGCAGGTGCTGGTCTCCGCTCGCAGACACGCTGATGGTGCCGATGAAGCCATGGCCCTCGCCAAAATGATGCCACAGGACCACAAGATAAGGTGACGAAGTGGTGGCTGTTGCAATGGATTGGATCTCCGAGACGTGGACGCTGGTGACTTTGGCGGATCGTGTGCACTCATCGTTGGGGTTGCTGGACAGGTGGCCACTTGCCACGACCAGTGGATGGCTGCTGCTGAGAAGCCACAAACGTCAGCGGAGTCGTTCAAGGATGCAACAGCAGCGCACCCGTCGCAGTATTCACCACCTGCACACGCTGGCAGCGTTGTAGACCACACGGCCCAGATGAACCTTGTAGTGGAGGAGGCGCACGGTCGCGCGCGATAGGTGCATGGCCAGAAAACACCTCCAGCAAGCAGGTTGTCCTTGATCATTATAACGACGTCCGCTGACTCGATGTTGATGCCGTCGCCAACCATCGCCACCACGTCGCCCTTTCGCCTCCATCTCCTGCACGCTGCTGCGAACACGTTGTCGATGCCAACCTCTGCCCCCAATGGACCGCGCAGTGCCCTTGTTGTCGCCCGTGTGAGCATGACCAGGCGCAAGCCGAGCTGATGCAGCAGGCGCACCGCTCTCTTCGCCTCGAGGGCTTGCACGTGTCAGCGAGACCAAAGTAGCCCAGGCAAAAGCTTGCCGTCTGCCGAGCACCCACCAACCGTGTAGCCACGCGTCTCGTCGCCTTCGTGCATTGTCTGCCGCTATTTGCCGCTGATGGCGTTGGATTGCCAATACCACGATGTGCATGCCAATGACAATGGGCTTGCTGTCTACGATTGCTGAGGTGCTCCGACCAGAGACCGTCTTGAAGTCCGTTGCAAGAGACAGCGCCGACGTGTGCCACAATCGCCTGGCCCAGGGGCATGCTCGCTGTTTGCCCTCTGCAGCCGCCACCAGCTTCAACAGGGCGTCCTCCGTCCACGTGTCATCATCGCCGAGCACGCGCGCGAGTTTTGGCGATCCAACCATCAGCGTGCCCGTCTTGTCAAGCACGGCCTGTGAGGAGGCAGAGTTGAGAGTGTGTGAGAGATCGTGTGTGTATGTGCGTGTGAGTGCGTGAAGGTGAGTGTGGGCATGGAGGTGTGAGTGAGTGAGTGTGTGAGTGTTCTCTAACCACGACTCGCGAGCACCAGTACGAAGCACACACACACACACACACACACACACACACACACACAAGACACACACACACACACACACATAGACACACCAGTTGAACGCCACCTTCGTCGGACGAATGTGTCAGCGGCACCCGAGGTCAGCAGCGCAACCCACACACCAACAGCAACATGATGCTTGACACAAAGCGCCCCGCCAGCTTGTCTGGGAAAGAACAAGGAGGGAAAGGAAAGGAGAGGTTGTGTGTGTGTGTGTGTGTGTGAGTGGGAATGTCTGCAGAAACATTGACAGGAACGTGTGAAAGGGGGTTTTAGCGTGTCGTATCCAGTACACACACCTGCTGGATGGGCGCCCTTGACACACTGCCAACATGCGTGGCCTCGAAGACCATGCACCATGGTGCCGCCCATACGACAATAACGCCTTTGGAGACGAGACAGGAATTGATTCGCCCCGTGATCATGGCCTCGTCCATTTCACCGGCATCCTCCAGCACGCGTGCATCCAATCCACAGGCACTTTGTCACCAGCCACCATCTGCCAACAAGAACGGGAGGAAGGGTGAGCGAGATGTGACGACAGTGCATATCAGGCGGCTGCTACAACCACAGCTGAGGTTGCAACAACTGCCACATTGCTGCTGCAGCTACAACCAACCACCCGCCATCACATGTAAGCACCACCAACTCCAACACCCACCCCTCATCACCGACACTCTCACGCACCTTCAGGTTGGCGCCGCGCTGCACGAGCTCGGTGTCAATTCGCTCCTCCATGCGATTGCCTTTGACTGTACCTTCCTTCATCCGGCTGGAGATGTTGCCTTTGGCGAGGTGTTCGATGTACGCCCGAGCGACACAAAGGTGAAGAGGGAGAATGCCGGTCCCCAAGAAGAGGTCGCCACCACCACCACCAGTCAGAGTACTCGTGGGAGGCAGCCACAACAATGAGCACCACCAGGGAGCACAGGTACGCAGCCCTGAGGTGGATTTGTAACAACGCAAGGGCAAGTGCACGTGGATCAGCGACACGTGTGCACGCGACACGCTAGCAAAGAAGGCACGTGTAACGCTCTCTCATTCACTGCAGTGGCGGACGTGACAAGAACATGCGGAAGTGGTCGCAACACATCACACACACACACACACACACACACACACACACACACACACACACACACACACACACACCACATTCATGTTGGCAGCACCGTGCATGGTGGACTGCGCCGCGGAGAGGAGAAACGGCTGACCGGGAAACGAAGGAGATCAGACCCAGCAGCATGAGGATGAGGTGAAGCGTCGCGACATGCCGTCGATCATGCGCGCATCCCAGGAGTCCGGCCGCACGCAGCCACGATGATGGACGCGACGAAGAAACACGGTGATGCATACGATGAAGGTGATGGGGCAGAAGCGGATCTCGCTCCTGTGGGTGGGTGGTGGTGCTTCGTGGTCCAGCTCCGACGCGTGCCCCAGCATCCTTCAGCGCGCTGCAGTCACGAATGGGTGTTGTGTGAAGTGCATGACACAAGGCATTCTTTAGTAAGTGGTGATGGGTAGCAAGAAGGTGTTGCAGCAAGGACAGACACAGAGTCAGTTGGAGGGATTCGGTTGGAGGGGAGCAGAGAAGAAGCAAGACGAAGCGACACGTACAAGTGCAAACACGCACACACATACACACACACACCCATACACATGCGCACGTGATCATGTCGCGTGGTCCCGTTGCATAGGTCTCGTGTTTGACTTGCATACGGCCCAACGCATCATCAACCTGCACCATTTGAACATCGGGCAGGGCCCGCAGCATCGCCTGTCGTGCGTGCCCAACAACAGCAGCAGCGGCAGCAGGATGAGAGGTTGAAGTGGAAAGCAGGCATGCGTGCATGCAAGCAACCACGCGTGCATGCAAACAAAACAGAACAAGCAGAGATGCAGTGCCGCGCATATTGCATGCCTTATGCTGAGGTACGTCATGCCTTGTGCTGGTGTTTGCATTTCCTCGCGGGCCTTTGTATCCGATCTCGCCAATGCTGGCGATGATGGCTGCAGGGCTTCACCGTCGCGGTGCCAGTGAGCAGGCCCACACGACACATTGCTGTGCATGCCGCGCATACGCCCTCAATGTTGGGCACGCACGAAGCGCAAGCCATGCCTGTAATGCAGCGCAGCGGTACATGCAGTGTGTACCAGCGAGAATTATGTGTGGAAGTGAGGAAGTACCAAAGTGAGGGAGCACCCAACGGCACACACCCACACACACACCCACACACACACACACACACACACACACACACACACACACACACACACACACACACACACACACGCACAGTGCACGCACCTGCACCTTGGTGTCGGTGTTGTCAGAGGCGTGGGGAGCTGATGTTGTGCTGGGGTGGGGTGATGGCTTTCCGAAGAGTGTCGGCAACAGCGTCTTGGCGCTTGTCGGAAGGCGCCGGTTCTTTCTTCTCAGGTGTGCTCGTAGCTGAAGAGGACGTGAGCACCCCATGAACAGCCTGCTCCTGCTCACGCTGCTGTGGCGGTGAGACGATTTCAATGGAGTGCTCGCCCTCGCGTTCAATGTCTGCCAGCTCGCCTGATGACACCTCTGCAAGATGTTCGACAGCAACCGCCTTGTGTTCGATCATGAGTGTGGTCTTGATCACCGTTGGCCTGACACACTGCTGCTGTCGCATACGATGGCCGCAATGCTCTGGGCACACAATCCACATGTCACAGTGAGCTTTGCCTGCGGAGACGCCATGGCTGTTGTTGTTGTGGTGGTAGTGGAGTCAAGTGGCCACATGCAGCAGCAGCAGCAGGTCCACGTTGTTCTTCTGCTCGTCCATCCACGACCTGGCAAGGACAGCTGGCCCACACTGGACATCGCGCATATTTTCACCTGTCTTGGCGAGGAGCACGCCGTGTTGGTGGGGAGGATTTGGCGCTGCACGCATGCATGCTGGTGCCAACCAGACGGAGGGAGGAAAGGCACACACTCCTCATGATATCGGCAGCAGTGGCTGGGGAGTGTCTTGGACAGAGAGGGACAGCTGCATCACGTGCGTACATCAGGCGCACGTATGCGCGTCCTTGGCTGTGTGGACACTATGTTCACATAGAGGCACGAGGCAGCGTGGAGAAGGTGGTGGAGGGGGGAGGACGAGAGCGTCACGACGTCAGACACGACGCAAGACGCGAGAGGAGGAAAGGTGCACCAGCACAAGCTGAGGTAATGGAAGAGAGGAAGATGGGTGTGAGCACGTGTCATTGGAACAACGTGTGATGTATGTGTGCGTATGCGTTTGCGCGTGTTGCGCAGATAAGGCTGAGCAATGCAATGCAATGCAATGGAGTGACATGACCTCACACTCACACACACACGCACACCTTTGGATGAACACGTCGTGTTTGGTCACGATGTTTGCCTCCTTGACATGAGTTGAATTCACACCACTCTCTGCACTTCGTGGTGAAGCTATGGTGTACCACACAGCAAGACACCGACATCGTGTGCCGTGTGTGCTCTGTCCTTGTTGGTCCAGTGATGAGCTGATGAAGGAAGGATGGCTGAGGGAAGGAAGGATGGATGGATGCGTTTCAACGTGCCTCCTTTCTCTCAACAACACAACACACACAACAACAAACAAAACAGTGAACTTGCTTGTGTGTGGCTGGAAATCCAATGCACAATTCCCAACAATCGTCCACAACCACAACCAGCCAAAACGCCACAAACAAACAACAAACAACCAATCCTGTCTTCTCTTCTCTTCTCTTGGTGCTGCGTCTGTCCTGCGAACAGACACGCGAACGAGGAAGGAGGGAGGCACACTTAACTCCTACTTCTGTTCTTTCCTTCTTCCACTCTTCTCTCTTCTTCTTCACCCACTCGGAGTATGATGGCGCTGATGAGAACGATGGGGTGCCTGCAGGCACGTGGGTTGGTGCTGCTCCCCGTGCTACTGGTGGTGGCGGCGGCAGTGTGCTGGATGCCGCTCCTCAGCAGCGTTGTTGGAGAGGTGACGCTGGTGGAGGATGATGCGGGTGCGCTTCACATCAACACCAGCGATCCTATGAGCCAGCCCGTGTTTGTGAATGGGGTGAATGTGCACGAGACGCTCAACACGCTGATGAGTACCGTGTCAACACAGCAGAGGGCGATTGACCGTGTCCGTGGCAAAGTGTGTACCCCAAGTGCCACGACGCTTGGGCAGCTCGGTTCACAAAGTGGAAAGTGGATTGGAGGCGTGACGGCGAACAACGGTTTGATCTACGCTGCGCCACACAACTCTCCTTCCGTCCTCATCGTCGACCCCAGCAGCAACACCGTCGACACAACCACAATCTCCGGATTACTTTCGGGTGGTGCAAAGTGGTCTGGTGCTGTGTTGGCACACAACGGCCTCGTCTACATGTTCCCTTCAAACAGGGAGACGATGCTCATCATCGACCCAGACACTAACACGGCTGACACGACAAGCATCCAGTCCCTTGGTACTGGCAGCTACAAGTGGCGCAGTGGCGTTGTGGCTAGCAACGGCCTCATCTTCGGCATCCCAATTCATGCCACCTCTGTGCTGATTATTGACCCCAAGACCAACACAGCTGACATCACCACTCTGTCTGGTTTGTCAACCCAAACGTTTAAATGGTACGGAGGCGTACAGGTAGACAACGGCCTTATCTACTGCATTCCCTTGAGGGCTTCCTCCGTTCTCATCATCAATCCAGAGTCTCTCACCATGGACCTCACAGCCATCAGCGACCTCGGCACAAACGTCAAGTGGTATGGCGGCGTGCTTGTAGGCCACGACCTCATCTACACCATCCCACACGGCACTGCGACGATGCTCGTCGTCAACCCAGCCACCAACGCCACCAACGAGCTCGAAGTTGCGGAGGCAACAAGCTTTGGCAAGTGGGTTGGTGGCGTGCTCGCACCCAACGGCAACATCATCGGCATCCCACACAACTCGCCTTCCGTGCTCATCTTCGATCCAACCACCAACGCCACCGACACAACAACCATTAATGCTCTTGATGGATCTGCTAAGTGGTTTGATGGCGTGCTTGCTCCGAACGGCCTCATCTACGGCATCCCATCTTACGCCGAGGGCATCCTCGTTATCGACCCTGGGTGCTGATGTGCTTGATGCTTGCACATGTCGTGCATGTGCGTGTGCGCTTGTGGCCTTTCTACATCTTTCTGCTTCCTTCCCTCATACCTGTGACAGCCTTCTGTGCACCTGACGCTGCTCACCGCTCTTTGATTTCCAATTGAAACGACTCAAACCCTCAACCGAGTACATGCATTGTGATAGTGGAAGAAGCTGTTCCACAACTGTGTAGCGCGTCGTGTTCATGCTGGGGTAGAGGCAACTCTTCCAGGACAACAAGGCAACCACACTTCTTCGAGCCATCAGCCCGCAAGCAAATGAACTTCCATCCACATGACATCAACATGGGGTTCAACACGGGTTCAACCGCACATTTACACCCCCCCCCCACACACACTCTCTCTCTCTCGACTTTCATTGTTCGGTTCACGCACGTGTTTCATTTCCGTTCACAATAACTACCACGGTTAAGCTTGTCAGCAACGCGCACTCTCAACCAAGAACGAGCGTGCTGAGTGCGAGCATGTATTCCCTCACACAAGACTCTACCAAGGAAAAGTTAAGATGGTTCAACGATCAAACACACAGGCAAATCAGCAGACGTGCGCAATCCCGCACGCAAGTAAGGCTTCATTCATCCAAACGTGAGCTTGGGTAGCTGCAAGGAATGTGTGAATGACAAACGGCGTTGTGCAGTCTTGCACAACACCACCACCAAAGAAGCAGACAAAACTTGAAAGGGGGGAGCAGAACAAACACAAAACAGGCCAACACCACCCACTTCAAACAACACCTGCTACGAAACAACAATGGCCCAAACGACCACCGAACAAACCATTCCGCAACCCTCGATAACGCAAGACAACCAAACTGGCGTACCAAACCAACCCAACTGTCACTAGCCTGGCTAAGTCCTTCAAGAAGGCACCAGCAGCGACCTGACTCTAGCCAAGGCTGAGACAGACAAGTTAGCTGGCATTGCCAAGAATGTTGTGGTTGTTGTTGTTATTGTTGGGGTTATTGTTGTTGTCTTGGGGGCTGCCTCTGATTCCGTTGACCCCGTAGTCGTTGTTCTCAGCGACAGCACCATCACCGGGAACATCGTTTTGGGGTGGCAGGGGTCGTTGTGATTGATCGCCATCGTGACCACCACCACCAACACCATCATTATCACCACCACCATTGCCATCACCACCATCACCACCATCACCACCATCATCATCATCATCATCATCATCATCATCATCATCATCATCATCATCATCACCACCATCGTTATCATCATCGTTGTCAGCATTGCTGCGCTTGTGCTTGGCAGCGATGGCAGCCCGGTACTTGGTGAAGGCGCTGTCAATCAGCAGCGTCGCGTGGTGCGAAAACCTCGTTCCACGCGGCCTCGTTATCCAGCTCCGCCTTGGAGGGCGGCTCCGTGTACGTTGGGCCCGTGTACAGCCACGTGTGGATGGGATCAGCTGGCCGGCGCATGGACCAACCCATCCAGTGCGCTGCGCTGCAGGTCCTCATACAGCCCGCTGCCCACCTTCTCGCCATAGTACTTCTCAAACGTCTGCTTAAACGCCGACAGCGTGCAAGGATGGTCACGCGGATGGTGTCGAAGAGCGTGCCGTCGCGGCCCACCTCGTCAATCACCTCAAACAGCGTGCATGCAGATGCGTATGGGGAGCAGCGGAAGGCGCCGCAGCCGAGCGCGCACGTGGCGAGCGAGCGGATGTTGTTGTCCCGCGCCGTCGTCAGCAGCGCGCGGTACGCCGTCGTCAGATCCGCAGCCGTCTGCGTCACCGTGCTGCCAAACTCGGGTGCAAAGTTTGGCGCAACCACGTGCAGCACGTGCTCAATGTTGGGCGGAAGGGCCAGCGGACCGGACGTGGTCACGCGCGCCTCGTTTTATCGCAAGGGGACCGCTCCTCTCGGCATTCATGTCGCGGTCGTTGATGATGCTTCCCTCGCGAATCTCCGCGCGCAGCTGCACAGCCGGCAGCGTCTCGCTGGTGGTGTGGTACTGGTATGGCTCCACCTCCCACACGGCCTGCTTCACCTTGGCTGGGAACAGCTTCACACACGTGGTCAGCAACAGCACCTTCGACGCCGCCGCCACTTCCTTGCGCGGGCCTTCGAGCACTGCGTGGGCACTGAGGTCGACAGGCTGTCACCCCTGCCAGAGGCGTACGTGCCCTGTGCTCGCTGTTGTGATGTCACTCCTGCGTGCGCTGCTTGCTCACTCAAGCCAACCCCATCGTCGCCAGCAGCAGAAGAAGCAGAAGAAGCAGTGGCAGCAGAAGCATTTGCAGTTGCCGAAGCAGCGCCCGTGCTTGCGGTATAACCAATATCAGCACCAACGCCTTCTTGCGCAGCCGCTTCAGCTTGCTGTCCAGCAACCAGCTCCTTGGTCACGGACACCGGCACCCGGCACACGCAGCGCGTGGGCTGGATGTGGGCGATGGTGTGGAACGTCGACTCCGTCGTTGGGATGACCGTTTGCATTAGATCTCGGCGGCCAGCCACCATCCATCCACACGTTGCGCTCAGAGGGCGTGCCAATCACGTCCTGCGGCGCAACATAGCTCACCACGCCGTCCTTGCTGCGGCACAGCGTGCGGCTGGCCTTGGTCAGGTAATTGAACAGCTTGCGCTTCAGGAAGGTGACGTCCGCCTCGGACATCTCCGGCACGTGCGACGTGTCAATGACCGGCAGCCCGAGACATCATCAACACACTCTTACCACTTCCTTGCGCGGGCCTTCGAGCACTGCGTGGGCACTGAGGTCGACAGGCTGTCACCCCTGCCAGAGGCGTACGTGCCCTGTGCTCGCTGTTGTGATGTCACTCCTGCGTGCGCTGCTTGCTCACTCAAGCCAACCCCATCGTCGCCAGCAGCAGAAGAAGCAGAAGAAGCAGTGGCAGCAGAAGCATTTGCAGTTGCCGAAGCAGCGCCCGTGCTTGCGGTATAACCAATATCAGCACCAACGCCTTCTTGCGCAGCCGCTTCAGCTTGCTGTCCAGCAACCAGCTCCTTGGTCACGGACACCGGCACCCGGCACACGCAGCGCGTGGGCTGGATGTGGGCGATGGTGTGGAACGTCGACTCCGTCGTTGGGATGACCGTTTGCATTAGATCTCGGCGGCCAGCCACCATCCATCCACACGTTGCGCTCAGAGGGCGTGCCAATCACGTCCTGCGGCGCAACATAGCTCACCACGCCGTCCTTGCTGCGGCACAGCGTGCGGCTGGCCTTGGTCAGGTAATTGAACAGCTTGCGCTTCAGGAAGGTGACGTCCGCCTCGGACATCTCCGGCACGTGCGACGTGTCAATGACCGGCAGCCCGAGCACGTGGCACAGGTGCTCCTTGAGCGTGTCCTGCACCGCGTTGTCAAACGCCGTCAGCTGCCGCTGCATGCCCTCCACGGTCACGGGCACGCTTGAGGCGCACGCGTCCCTGTCCTCTGCGCTGGGCTTGCGCACATACACACGGAACTTGCGGGCCAGCTCCAGCAGCTGCGAGTCGAGGAAGCGGTACTGCATGCCCGTGACGCTGATCTTCATCTGCGACTTGATGTGGGCGCCGATGGTGCTGTTGATATAGCTGAGCCCGCGCTCCCTGTCCTGATCCAGGTAGTAGTCCAGCGAGTCCTCCAGCAGCATGACGCGGCGCCGTCCAGGTCGCACGTGTGTATCAGCGCCTGCTGGGGTGCCACGGGCGATGCGATGGGCGGGGTGCTGGTGACGGGCGGCGGCAGCACAAACTTCACACATCCCGCATGGCCCCGTGTGCCGTGTCGGCGTGGGGCAGCAGGCCAGGCGTCGGGTAGCGCACGAGCCTGAGGCCGTAGTCGTTCAGGACATGCTCCATGATCTTGTCGTCGCCCAGCACGCGGTCGCTGCGGGCAAACGGGTGGAAGGCGGGCGCGAGGAAGCTTGCAAACAGCTTGGCTTGCGACCACACCGGCACGGCGTTGCTGCCCGTGAAGCAGATGCGGTTACCCATGCTTGCAGCCGCAAGCACATCGAGGTCCTTGGCCACGCTGCTCTTGGTGAATGCGTCGACGAGGTCCGACAGGAGGCCGCCCAGCTTGGGGTCGAGCACCGCCACATGCACGTCGTTTGGGTAGCACAGCCGCGCCACAAACTTGTGCGAGACAGAGGCATCTTGCGCACGCACGCATGCGCCGCACGCGTGTCTGTCGTCTCCAGCACAAACACGCGCTGCAGCGTGGTCTCGGAGGACGCGTCGCTGCTCTTGTTGTAGTCACTGCCAGCATCGCCGTCTTTCTTGTACTGATGAGGGTCGTGCACAGCCGTGGGCTTGGCAGCAACACCGTGTGCCTCGTCGTCACCTCCACCCTGCTGCTGCTGTTCTCCTTGCTCTTGTTCTTGTTCTTGTTCAGCCATGCGGGTGTTGGCAAACGGCTGGATGCGGGACAGCGTGTCTTTGAGGGACTGTGGGATGGGCACACCGCTGTCGGTGTAGGCGACGCCCAGGTTCATGTAAACGGCCGCTGTGGTTGGGTTGCTGCTTCCCAGCGTCGCTATGAAGATCTCCTTCGCCTTCTCCATGTGAGCAATCGCCTTGTCGTGTCGTACTCGCGCCTTCTCCTCTTCTCGCGATAGGATACGCGGCGGTCTCTCTGGATGACTAGGCAAACTGGTGGGCAAAGCAGTGCAACTGCTATCAGTCCTCCTAATCCTCCTCAGTCATCCTCCTTGGAACAGCGTGTGAGCCGGTGCAGCCAATCGACGTCCGCGTCGATGCCGTGCTCCACACGCACGAGATCCGTGTAATTGTCGCTGTACATGATCAGGTGATCTCACACGAAGAGACAGAATTGAATGAAAATCAACAAGAAACAAAATGCATCCTGCCAGTGGATCGATGACGACAGTAAAGGTTGTGTGGCAAAGCAGAGTACGCGCGCAAACACATTCAATGTGTTTGCGCTGGCATGTGTGAGTTTCGACCAAGCCCTGTGTAGGGACGGGCAGGTCGTTTGCCGGCTACGGCGAGCGGTATTGTAGTGGTTCCACTCCAGCACTCCCTGCTTCCGAACCACCACTACTCTACACCACACTACACACATACACACAACACCAACCACGCTTGCTCTTGCACCTGCACTTGCACTTGCCTACTGTCTGTGTTCATTGCCCATTGCTGTATCAAGTCCTCAAGTCCACTCCAATACACATCTCCTACATTGGTCGACTACGGGTATCATCGCGAAATGCTGAAATTATTTAATGGTGAAGTGGGCGTGGTTGCGCTGTGTCATGAATTTTGTGGGGAAATGGCTGGAGACAGGAAAATGTGGTTCCGGTGATTTGCTGTCTTGTTGTGCGTGTGTGTGGCGTGCATTTACGTTCGTCTGTGAAGACTCGAATTTAGTGAGCGAGGACAGCAACCACGATCTCACGATGGCTGGTGTTGTGAGCACAGACGGGGTGTTTGATGTGTTTATTTCGCTTCGCTTCAGCGAGGCGAGGAACGCGGGGCGTGCGCTTGAGCGGGCACTTGAGGAGCGCGGTATCAAGACGTTTTTGTGCGACGTTGCGCCTGGCGATGACATTGCGAGCGCGGTGATTCGGGCACTGCATGGGTGTCGGATGGCTGTGATTCTGGGCACGCGAACATATGGCAAGCGGACGGCCACGAAGTTCAGCACGTTTGAGGAGCTGCGATACATTGTCAACCGCAGCAAGCCGTTCTTTTTGGTGAAGATGTGTGACGACTTTGCTGAGCCTGAGGCGCAGTTTCGGCTGTCAGAGGACATTTCGTACTTCCCATGGACCCCTGACGAGGGTGCGCCGCACGTTGAGGTCCCTGCGGCTCTGGTCGACGAAATTGTGGCGAAGCTGAAGGTGATTCTTTTTGCATTGTGTTCGTGCGCGCGCGCGCGCGCGCGTGTGTGTGTGTGTGTGTCTCTGTGTGTGTGTGTCTGTGTGTGTGTGTCTGTGTGTGTCTGTGTGTGTGTCTGTGTGTGTGTGTGTGTGTCTGTGTGTGTGTCTGTGTGTGTGTGTGTCTGTGTGTGTGTCTGTGTGTGTGTTTGTGTGTCTGTGTGTCTGTGTGTGTCTGTGTGTCTGTGTGTGTGTCTGTGTGTCTGTGTGTCTGTGTGTCTGTGTGTCTGTGTGTCTGTGTGTCTGTGTGTGAGTTTTGCTGAACTATGCCTGTGTTTCTTGTATTGCCCATGACAGACAATTCCTGAGACAGCAGCACCGGCGGACGCGGCACCGTTTGAGCGTGGACGGCACGGGTATGGGGCGCTGCCGCCGCCGAATGTGCCCGTGATGTCGCGCGAGGCGGCGGAGGCAATCCTACTGGACCGAGACGACGCAATGCCTGGGGACTATCTCGTGAGGCGCAAGAAGAAACGCAACACTGCTGTGATCGTCAGCCTGGTATGTGTGTGTGTGTGTGTGTGTGTGTGTGTGTGGTGTGTGTGGTGTGCTGTGTGCGTGTGTGTGTATGTGTGTGTGTGTATGGTGTGCTGTGTGCGTGTGTGTCCATGGGTACGATATCGATCTCACTGCCACCATGTTGCTGCCCGACAGGTTGCGCATCCTGGTGTTGTGGAGCATCACGTGTTGGAGAGAGGCTTGGATGGCAGCTATGTGGTGAACGGCACGCGGCCTGCAAAAGCATGCGGCACACTGTCCGCCATGTTGGAGCACCTGTCCACGAACCGCGAGTCCATGACACGCACGGTAAGCCTGGCATCTGTGTGTGTGTGTGTGTGTGTGTGTGTGTGTGTGTGTGCGTAAGTGTGTGCGTGTTTGTGTTTGTGCGAGACACGGGGCACTCACGCGTGCCTGACATGTACGGTGCTTGTGTGCATGCAGTTGCAGTGCCGGGTTGTGGAGACGCAGTCACAGCAGCAGCGGCAGGCCGGTGAAGAGCGTGGGACGACACCTGAGGTGGTGTACGATGTGGGACGCGCGGACGAGGCCGAGGACCATGCTGGCCCGGATGCCTGCATTGGCGTGGCCCGCGCGGAGCGCCTGCATCAGCAACAGCAGCCGTGGAACCCAGAGCAGAAATACGAGGAGATTGCCGGTGGGCACGATGACCAGGTGTATGCCTGTCCTGATGCAGCTGGCTTTGGGGTGTATGGCACGATGAGTGGCGATGTGGGTGACGATACCGATGCTGGCGTGGATGACGCCGCTTTTCTGCGGAGCGGGCGGCCCTCGTCTGGATCGCTGTCGATGCGGGCGGCGCCGGCGGGCATCAAGGCGTTCTCGATGGAGGTTGCTGACGATGCAGTTGTGACCAAGCGCGGGTGTGGCTGGAAGAGGATACTGGTGGCGCTTGCGGTGGCGGTCGTGGTGGGCGTTGCAGTTGCGGTGCCCTTGGCTGTGCTGGGCATGGGTGGCAGTTCGGCAACCCTGGACTGTGGCGATCTCAAGTCTCGGGCCCAGTTTGCGAGCGCCAAGCTGCGCCAAGCTGCTGCTGTGGTGAATTGCTGCTGTGATGAGTTCTACAACCTGGAGTCTGTGACAGGCTCTGTTGCGCTGAACAGCACGCTGACGAGCCTGCAATTTGGGTCTGTGCAGAAGGTTGTGGGTATCATCAACGTCGACGGCGATACACTCGCTGCAATCGACTTTGGCGGCCTCACTAGTGTGAGTGGATTCATGCAGATCACTGACACCGCCGTCCTCACCAGCATCGACTTTGGCAGCCTCGCTAGTGTGGAAAGACACGTCACGATCTACAACAACGATGCGCTCACCAGCATTGACTTTGGTAACATCACCAGCGTGGGCGGATACATCAGCTTCAGTGGCAACTACGCCCTCACCAGCATTGACTTTGGTAACATCAGCGGTGTGGGAGGCATCTTGGTCAGAGCCAGCCGTGCCCTCACCAACATCGACTTTGGAAGCATCACCAGCGCGGGTGGAGGACACATCGACATCAGCGAGAACGACGCCCTCACGAGCATCAACTTTGGCAGCCTAACTAGTGTGGAAGGATACGTCGCGATCTACAGCAACGATGTGCTCACCAGCATTGACTTTGGCAGCATCACCAGCGTGGGTGTAGATGTCAACGTCAGATCCAACCGTGCCCTCGCTAACATCGACTTTGGCAGCATCACCAGCGTGGGTGGATTCATCGACATTCGCTACACCAGCGTCACCAGCCTCGACTGCAAGGGCGTAGGCACGTGCATCCGCTACGATGCGGGCGTCTCCCTGCACAACTGCCCATCGCCGTGCTGACCCCGTCCAACGGACACACCCCTCGCTCCTGCTGCTATCATTACGTTCACCCAGCTCCGCTGCCACCCGTTCCCTGTCCATGTCGTGTGTGATGGTTGTTCTTACCACAATTACTTCCTTCTGTCTCCTCGCCCCAATTACTGCGCCCCGTGTTTCTTTCTCCTCTGTTCTCTCTGTCTGTCTTCTTTGCCTGGTTGATTGTGTGTAGCCCCCCCCCCACACACACTCATTGTTTGTTGTCGTCCGTCTTGTGCAGCCTCCATGTGCACATCACCAAGCCATAGCAACTACACAACCAACCACTGCAGAGCAGCAGCACCAACAATACAGCGAGCAGCAGTCGCCCTGTGGGCTGAATGTGTAGGCAGGCAGCGTTCAGAAGCGACTGCCTGACTACCATTCCATGTCAGTGAGTCAGTCATCACACCTGCTTGCTTATGGAGGGATGGCGACATGATGGATGTGCCGAATGAACTGCATCACGCAGGCGCATTTGATGTGGTTCAAACACATGGACACTGCTGATGGGCATGATGATTATCACAGATAGTGGCATCCCATACATTGCACGAGTAGCAAGCAGCAGCAGCGGCGACGGCGGCAATGGAACCAAACAAATGTGTGCTGTGATGTGATGCGCATCTGCTCCTGCACACAACACAACGCACCGCAATGCGCAACTGAGAGGATGGCGTACACGTGCTGGACGCTTCCCCCGTTCGTCCGCTGCTTCCACTCGACTGCCCCTCTTGTGCAAACCCTTTGCGCCAGGACGTGGAGCATGGTGAGACGACACAAGAGCGAGCGCACAGGCGACAGCACGTTATTTATTCCCCCAGTCAAAGTTCCAACCCACCAAAGCAGCCACTGCAGCAACACGCAGTCGTGTCGAGTGTCGAGCGGTGCCGCCTCGCTTTCACTCCAATGTGTGGCATTTCGCGACACTTTCTCCTTCATCCTGCTTCTTCTGTCGTAGCAGCGTTTGACCTGTGCAGTTGTTATCAAGAGAGATGGGTTGGTGGTGGCTGTGTACACTGTGGCTTGCTTCGGTGCTTCTTGTGATTTGCTTGTGTACGAATGGCACTTGTTCAACTTGCGTGTGCTGCTCGACCGTGCACATCATAGAATGACTTTGAAACGAGGATGCACTGGCGTGGATGAAGGGATGAACGAAGAGACGCAAGAAGCACAAGTCAAAACAAGCACACAAAGAACACATGCATGCAAGCAAGCACTCGGTCACTGTGCCTCAAGTCAGAAGAGAATGTAACAGCAACAGGAAGGAGGGGCAGCGAGAGCGGACAAGAAGTACAGATGCAAACACGTCATTGCCCACATCCCACCACACACACACACACACACGCACGCACACACACACACACACACACACACACACACACACACACACACACACACACACGCGCGCACACACACACACACGCACAACCATCCGCCCCCCTCACCTTCCACAACACGCACACACACACACACACACACACCTTCCACTCCTCCTCGTCACAGCTCATCGTGCCCCCCATGACCGCTGAAGCACGTCTTGAAGCAGGAGCCGAGCTTTTGGCCCATGAGCGGGCCGTCCACGTTCAGGTTGAACACCTCCATCTTGTCGAGGTGCGGGTTGAGGCGGGCGTTCAGGCGCTCGGGGACGGTGAAGAGGCACGGCGGGCCGGGCTTCTCCGTGGAGTACGTGGCCATGGCAAACGTCATGGCCATGACGCAGTTGATGCGCCGCTCCTCCGGGTTGTTGCTGGCCACGGCGCTGTTGTTGACGGCCATGACGTCCGTCACCTCAAACGTCACCTTGAGGCCGCACCCCGGCGGCGTGTTCACCTGGCTGTACGCGTCCACCATCGAGGCGTGCGTGCGTGGCATGAACGACGGAAACTCTGCAGCAAGGTCCTCTGTGTAGAACTTGTCCACATGCTCCTGGATGCGCGTTCGCATGACGCCCTCGTCCCCAGATGAAGACGTGGTGATGGCATCCACAAAGTCCTCGATGCTTCGCCGAAGGTGGTCTACACACAGCTCCTCGTCCGAGGTCTCAGCTTGCGTTTGCGTTTGCGTTTGCGCAGCACCAAACAGCGCAAGGCTGGCAAGCACAGCAACAACGAGGAGCATGCAGGCACGGAAGGCCGCGACAAGGCGCACACACATCTTGGTGTGATGGGATGTTGGTGTGTGAGATGTTGTTCTTGTTTGGTGCAAGTAAGCAAGCAAGCAGTGCTGCAAGGAAACAGACAGCAGCAGTCCTCTCTCTCTCTCTTTGCTGCCTTGTGTTGTCGAAGATCGTGAATGGCTTCAGGTGATTTTCCACAAACAGCAGCAAAGAAGAGCAAAGCGCCACATCAAGCACCGCTCTTGGTGCTCTTCTTTTGTTGCCTTGTTGCTTGCAGAGCTTGCCCTTGCCTTCTTCTTCTTGTTTAAGTGTGTCAAACTTTGAGGCACAATGACGACGGCTGTGGTGATGGTGCTGGTCGTGGCAGTCGTCACGGTGACCATGCACGCATGCTCAGCAACTGCTGCAACTCCAACCACACCACTCCGGTTCCAACAAGACAAGCAGGTGTGTGCCAGGAAGTCGTTTTGGTTGTATTTTCGTTCGTTTGTCTGTAATGCTTGCTTTGTGCTGGTGCTGCACTGCTAACCTTGTCGTACACACACACACACACACACACACACACACACACACACACACACACACACACACACACACACACACACACACACACACACACACACACACACACACACACCTCCCCTTCACCTCCCCACAACATTTCCTTCAGCTCTGCTCGGAAGTACATGGCACACTAGAGAGCATGGTGCGCGTGCTGAGAACGCATGGCGTGGCATTTTCCCCCAATCCACACGGACGCAGCAGCAACAACAACAGCAGCAACAGCAACAACAACAACAGCAACAGCAGCAACAGCAGCAACAGCAGCAGCAGCAAAGACGACTCCTCCCACAACGCAACGACACACGAAGTCCAAGGCGCTGCGGCAACTGCAAACACCCTGCACTCTTCGCTCGTCGTCGACCTGTCACCGGTGCACCGCATGATGACTGCGTTTGGCTGCGGCAACCGAAATGACGAGCAGCCTCAGCGGAGTGATGACGAATCAGCTCGTCATGACCCAAGTCACACCGCCTCACGTGTGCCCCTGTTTTCAGCGCCCACGCACGTGGACGACAGAGTGGACACCATCCGAAATGCGAAACTCGCGCAGCCCTCTCAGAAGCAACAACAACAGCAGCAGCAGCGACATCAAAGGCGCGTGCGACGGAGTGATGATGGAGCTGTCATGCACGCGGGAGCATGCACGCTGGCAAGTGTGATCAACGGCACATGTCCGGGCGCAGACGACCGTGGAGGCCTCACAATCGCCTTGCGTGAGGAAGATCGTGTGAATGACACCACGGACGCGAGCACACTACGAGCCATATCCGGGTCCGTCATCGAGCTGACAGTGAATGGGTACGTGGCCGAGTTGCCGCTTCGATGGATTGTCGACAACGGCGATTGGACTGTGTGCAGCAAAGTGGTCGTGTTCCACGTACAGAATCCCACGTTTCAGCTGAGCATGCTAAACCCAATGACGGGCATCGCCACGATCTGGGTTCGCGACAGCGATGCTCTGCGTGAAGTCGACACGCGTGGCTTTCAACACGAGAAGAGGATTGCGAGGTTTCTTGTATCGAACTGCTCGCTGACGGCTGTACCCAACGTCTCTGCGATGACTTCGCTCAGTGCCTTCAACGTCCACCAAAACCGTATCCAGCGCATCTGTAAAGGCAGCTTTACGGGGTTGACACTGCTGCACCACTTGGCTTTGAACGACAATGTCATTTCAAAGATTGAACGAGGGGTGTTCGATGACCTTCAGCAGCTGCGTCGGCTTGACCTGCACTCCAACGGCATCACCGCTTTTCCTCCCGCCTTGTTCCACGGGCTGACGAACCTCACACTTTTACAATTGCAACGGAACCCGATCACAAAGCTTGACGCAGACGTGTTCGCTGCCCTCACCACGTTGGACCGCCTCAGCCTTGAACATACGCTCCTCACCAGCTTACCCCCAACGTTGTTCCGACAAACCACTCGCCTGACTCGCCTTGAGTTGGCAAACAACTTCATCACATCCCTTCCCGAAACCCTCTTCTCCGGGTTGTCGGTGTTGCAGTACCTGCAGATGGCTGACAACCGGCTGACATCGCTGCCGTCCGGCGTCTTCACAGACTTGGCGTCGCTGGCTTTCCTGTCTTTGCCAGAGAATGACCTCACTTCGTTGCCTGTGGACCTCTTTCGGGCCAACCTACGACTCGATACTTTCTATTGCAACAACAACCGTCTCACGGCACTCCCATCCAACCTCCTGGCCAACGTTTCTGCGCTCTGGTTCGTGTCCTTTGCCAACAACGCCCTTCGCTCCATCGACAATGTGCTCGCGGAGGCTTCCCCGTCGTTCTGGCACACGCTTGATCTTGACAACAATCGACTGACCAAGCTGCAGTTGGCCAGAGAATTGCCTTCCCTTCGCCGCCTCGGCTTGAGCGACAACCGCCTACAGAAACTGCCGGACGTCAGCCTCACTCCTGCGCTGGACACTCTCCGACTCCAAAATCATCAAATCAAGCACATGGACCTGGCACCGCTTCTTCAACTACCGAACCTCCAAATCCTGCTGCTTGACGCGTCTCCACAAACAGAATCCCGAGCAGTGTTGTCGGATACCAATATGACCAGCATTGCGCCACTGCTCACGCTCAGGTTGGCAAATGTGGACATAACCGCTGTGGCTACAGTCTTCGAACATCTCCCGCCGCTGAACCTTGGTGTGTTGCATGTTGGCTGGCTCGGCGCCAGCAGTGCCACCCTTCCAATTACTCAAGTGTGCAGGCTGCTCGCAAGCAGCGTGCGTGAGCTGCGCATCGCCAACACAGAGTACAGGGCTATTGAGCTGTGCCCTGACAAGACAGTCAACACCCTCCTTCTCACCGACAACAAACAACTGCGAGCTGTCACCGTCCACAACCCGCTGCGTGAACTTAACGTGTCTGGCTGCACTCAGCTCACTTCCATTGATGCACCTCCTGTTGATATACTCGACATCAGCAGCACCAACTTCCCATTGACACGTACGCTGTGCACGCGTTGGGGACGGCGCATTCTCTTCGCCAGAAACTTGGTCAAACCCGTCGACATCCGACAAGCGGCTGCAACTGCACGCACCTGCCTTGAGCGAGTAGACGTGCTGGACCTCTCTGCCAACGAATGGTTGCGCCACGTGAAAGAGATCAACCGCGCGGTAGGCCGCAGCAGTGTTTTGTCGGACGAGAGCTTTTTCACACCTGATGTGCGCCCTATTCCCAGCCGGCTCATGCCTCCGATCCTGCAGCTGACTGGGGCGCCCATTGACTGTGCGCTTCAATTCTCAAATCAAAACTTGCGCCCGCTAAGAGATCCGAACCTACCCACACCACAGATTGTGTTTTCCTTCCACTGCACATGTGCTCGTGGGTTCAAGATGACCTCCAGTGGGCAGTGCGTGGTGGACAAGCCGGACATTGCTGCCGTGGCTGCTGGCTCTGTGATTGGCGGCCTTGCGCTTGGCTTGCTCATGGCGTGGCTGTCACGCCGCTACCGTGGCATGACGAAACGCATCGGCCTGCAGGAGCAGCTGCTGGTGGAGAGGGATGAGGAGGTGATGGCGCTGAAGGCTGCATGGGAGATTGAGTACGATGAGCTGAGGATGATCAAGCGGGTTGCTGCGGGTGCCTTTGGCGTGGTGTTCAAGGCAGAGTGGGACACGGTGACAGTGGCAGTCAAAGTGCTGCAGCAAGCCGTCATGGCATTTGACGAGAGCACGGTGTTGGAGTTTGAGAAGGAGGTGGAGTTTCTGCAGCGAACACGGCACCCCAACGTGGTGCGGTTCTTTGGCGCGGGCACAGATCCCAACGGCAGCCCGTTCCTGGTGCTGGAGTTTGTGGCCATGGGATCACTCAAGGACCTGCTGGGGAAGGAAATGGAGAAAGTGTTGGTGGAAGTGAGGAACACTAAGGTCGAGGAAAGCAGCAGTGGTGGTGTCGGTGATGACGTGAGCAGTGTGTGGGATTTGAAACTGCGACTGCTGCGTGACGTTGCGAGTGGCATGGCCTTTATCCACAGCCTGGACCAGATGCACAGGTGTGCATGTGTGTGTGTGTGTGTGTGTGTGTGTGTGCGTGTGTGTGTGTGTGTGTGTGTGTGTGTGTGTGTGTGTGTGTGTGTGTGTGTGTGTGTGTGTGTGTGTGTGTGTGTGTGCGTCTGCGTTTGCGTGCAAACACGTGCTCTTGCTGATCGCCCATCCTACCCACCACCACTTCCACGCTCATCCACATCCACAGAGATCTGAAGAGCGGCAACGTGCTGGTGTCGTCGTCCCTTCGCGCGAAGATTACGGATTTTGGGTCCATTCGCCAGTGCTTCACTCGTGACAGGAACCAGCAACAGCAGCGCACAAGTCTCTCCTCAAGCAACGGTGATGACCCACAATACAGCCAGCAGGCTGGACTGCAGACGATGACGAGCATGACGCTGACGGCTGGCGTGGGCACACCATTGTACATGGCACCAGAGGCATTGACGGGTGACAAGTACAGCTTTGAGGCTGACATCTTCAGCTTTGGTGTGCTGATGTGGGAGGTGGTGACGCAGCGGGTGCCGGATTTGATTGAGCAGGAAAAAGGGAGCGAGTATCGTGGACCGATCCTCGCCACCATCAGCAATCTTTTGGAGGATGGGAAACGATTGCGATTTGAAGACAGCGAACAAGATGGTGAGAAGCTGCTGGTACGTGTGTGTGTGTGTGTGTGTGTGTGTGTGTGTGTGTGTGTGTGTGTGTGTGTGTGTGTGTGTGTGTGTGTGCTTGCTTGCACGTCCTCTCTTCTCACTCACACACACATGCACACACCTCCATCCGCAGCCATCCCTGAGTGGTTCCAGTCGCTGACGTACAAGTGCATGGCGCAGAACCCGCGTGAGCGGCCGTCGTTTGGGGAGCTCAAGGACCACCATCTTGTTTGATTACCGATACTATGTGTGTGTGTGTGTGTATGTTTCTGCGTTTGTTTGCATATCTCTGTTCCGTTTCTCGTGTGTCTCATGCCTCAAGGACACGACAACCACCCACTGTCTACAGCTGCACAAAGCTGCCTTTGCACTTTTGTATGTGTGTGTGTGTGTGTGTGTGTGTGTGTGTGTGTGTGTGTGTGTGTGTGTGTGTGTGTGGTGCCGTGGTTGGATCCAGACGCTGATTTTAAGTGTGTACTCGGATAAAGGGAGAGCAACTTTCAACCGTGACTCGATCACCACAACCACAATTAACAACACAAAGCAACGCGAAGCAAAGCAAGGCACGTTGAAAACTGTAAGGCAGCCCATCTTTGCCTCTTATGGCTGCCGTGGAAGAAGCGGCATACATTGCTTTGGTGGAACAGACGTCCACGTGTAAATGCACAAAGACCTGAAGACAAGTACATGGTGCAACCAAGACAAGCACGCACACACACAAACGCACACAAGAGCATGAACACACACACACACAAGCATGTACACACACACACACACACACACGCACACACACACACGCACACACACACACGCACACACAAGCATGCACACACACACTCACACACACACACATACACACACACACACACACACACACACACACACACTACAGTGGCACCCCAGTCCAGTCGTGCAGGAGGAAGGCGTTGTCTGTCGACTGGGAAACGAAGTATTGTCCATCGGCAGTCATGCGCACCGTTCGCGTAAACCGGGTCACGTCAAGCTGGCCATCGCGGCCAAACGACTGAAAGGCAACTTCCAGCGTATCCGCATCAAGCAGCTGAAATCCGCCATAGCTTGGCACAACAAGGTACTTCTCGCTGGGGTGAAGCATCATCCATTTCGGGGTCAGTGAAATCGCGCGAACCAGCTCTCCAGACAGGCTCCTGCATTCCAGCTTCTGGCCATGGCCACTGTAGCAGGCGAGCAGCCTCTGCCGTGGAAGCCAGAGGAGCCCCGATGACGTGCGGTGCCGTGTCAGCGACTGGATCGGAGACGCGCCGTTGTCCATGTTCCAAAGCTGAACCCCATTTCCTTGTGCAGCCGTTGCCAGCACAATTCTACCTTGATCATCCGTGCAAATCACCACGCCACCGACAGGCCCCTCGTGCTCGCCAAATACACGAACCATTGCTGCCTCCATGACGCTGCCGCTCTCACCAGCATTCAGTTGCCAAAGACGTACTGTGCAGTCTTTTGAGCCCGTGACAAACTGGCGTGTGTGGGCGTACTGCGGATGCCATACGCAACATGTAATCTCGTCTGTGTGCTGGTGGCGTTTGTCGTCCTCGTCACAACACGGCCCGAGCACTTGCTTGCATGCAGGCAGCGCCAGCACAAACATGTCACGCCCATTCACCACCACGCACGAGTCGCGCGTCGGTGAAAACCACACCTGCCAATCCCAGCCGGTCGCGTGGCTCACCAAGACGTCCTCGTGCACTTCCCCCGTGATTGTGTCGACAGCCGTTATGGCTCTCTTCCTTGTTGAGGGACAAAGGAGGATACGTCCATCCGCACTCGCGCTCATCTTGCCGAAGTTGTAGTATCGGGCGTCGCTGTTGTGCAAGTCAATGGTCTTGATCAGCGTCATTGTCGTTGCGTCGTGAATGCCAAGCACGCTTTTGCGACCTGAACGGATGAAAACTACAGGCTTCTGTTGTTGTTGTTGTTGTTGTTGTTGTTGTTGTTGTTGTTGTTGTTGTTGTTGTTGTTGTTGTTGTTGTTGTTGTTGTTGTTGTTGTTGTTGTTGTTGTTGTTGTTGTTGTTGTTGTTGTTGTTGCAGCCCTTGTTGTTGTTGTTGTTGCAGCCCTTGTTGTTGTTGTTGTTGTTGTTGTTGTTGTTGTTGCAGCCCTTGTTGTTGTTGTTGTTGTTGTTGTTGTTGTTGTTGTTGTTGTTGTTGTTGTTGTTGTTGTTGTTGTTGTTGTTTTTGTTGTTGTTGTTGTTGTTGTTGTTGTTGCAGCCCTTGTTGTTGTTGTTGTTGTTGTTGTTGCAGCCCTTGTTGTTGTTGCTGCTGCTGCTGCTGCTGCTGCTGCTGCTGCTGCTGCTGCTGCTGCTGCTGTTGTTGTTGTTGTTGTTGTTGTTGTTGTTGTTGTTGTTGTTGTTGTTGTTGTTGCAGCCCTTGTTGTTGTTGCTGATGCTGATGGGAGTCGGCCATGAGGGCAATCGTCGGCGCTGGTGGTGGTCGATGTGAGGCTGATGAGGTGGTGCCCTTGTTCTTGTGTTCTTTAATCTGCTGCCAGTCAAATACAGACACCGTGTCCCTGCATAGATTTCCAATTGCCAGCAGCGTGTCATCTGGGGAGAGCGCAACAAGTCCCGTGAATGCTGGACCCACGGAGCGCAGCCACGTCATCGTGTCCACGTCACACACTTTGGTTGCCTTTTCCGACAGGCCCCCACCCACCACCAGAATGTTTCCAGCAGCAGCCAAGCTCATGGTGCTTCCCGGTCGTTGCGGAGACTTGGAGTATGGCAACTCCGCCACCTTTGCTCCATCAGCTCGAAGCTTGTACAGGTAGGATGTGCACAGCGCGACTACGTCGAGACCGTTTGGCAAGAGGCAGAGCGCTTCCACACCCCTATTCCTGGGACGTTCGACGTCGTAGCATGCAGCCTGTACCAAAGCAGCCTGTACCTCTGCAGCAGTCGAATGTGTGGGCTGCCGTGCTGACGCTGGAACACCCTTGAGCTCAAACCACACGACACGGCCGCTCTTTGTGCCTGCAACCAGCGTGTTGTTGCGGATCCGGCCACAAAGCAAAGTCTCCTGCTCTGTGCACTTCCACACGCATTGGCTGAAGTCAGGACTGTACAGCAGGACTCGTAGGCGCCCAGCACAACACTGCGCTGTGCAGGGGTGAGGGACCGCTTGGCATCGGCCAGCCACGTGCTCAGGATGCCGTCTGCGTCGTCTTTGCTGATCTTGGCCACGTGCTGTTGGTTGGCGTCTGGCAGCGTGGCCTTGAGCACCTCCCAGCATCCGCCCACATCCGGCAAACTGGAGACGACGATGGCGCAGTTTGGCGGCAGCGATGCGAGCGGCAGCCACTCCAGGTTGCGGCCCTGGTCCTCGTCTGAGAGCTGGTCAAGCGAGTCCAGCACGAGCACCAGAGGTTTGACAGCCGTGCCAAGCTTGAGGGCGGCCTGAAACTGTTCTGTCAGCGTCTCAAAGTCGGCTGCTGGCGATGCTGCTGGCTCCTTGCCTTTCACTGCGCGGTGGATATGGCGGTACACGTTGGCCATCAGGGTGCGGGCAGTGCCGCTCTCCCGCGACGTGCCCAGGAACCGCGACACCACAACGGCAGTTGGGTGGGCTTCCTTCATGGTACCTATGGCGTGTGTGTGTGTGTGTGCGTGTGTGTGTGTGTGTGAGCATGTGATGAAACAGAGGAAGCAGAGCACATCCCACAATGAGGACATGCATGAAGGCCAGCACAACAAGAGACATTCGCATACATGCACGCATGCACACACCACACACTCACACACACACACACACCATACCTGCGATATGAGCCATGAGTGAGGTCTTGCCACTGCCAGATGGGCCACAGATGGCAAACGGAGCTGTGTCCTCCTTGCCACTCGTGATGCGCTGTTGCACGTATGCAAGGGCAGCATCAACCGTCTGCTGCGTGGCTGCTGTGGACACGAACCCACGACGCCGCAGGTTGCCGAACATGGCGTGCGCCGCCGCCTCCTCCACCACTGTATCGCTCTCAAACGCGTGCTCGCGCGCAACACGCTCAATGTCCGTCGCCAGCGTGTCGCAGAAGGCGTCGGCAAAGGTGCGCATGTACTCTGCGTGGTCGGTGCGAGCGAGGTCGATGCCTGGTCCCCATGGCATGGACATGGTCTTGATGCGAGATGGTGACAGCGCAGCCGGCACCGCCTCCGCACGCGATCGCTCCAGCAGCTGCTGCGCCTCCTCGTCCACCTCACCACCAGCCATGTCGATGAACAGCTTGGCCGTGTCTGGGTCCGATGCAACGTCGATGCCCTCCAGGCGCCGGTCAAAGACGAAGCACGCCTTGTCGCGCGCCTCTTTCGGCTCCACCTTGAACAGGCCGTTGTCAATCTCCTCCGCCGTCACGCTCTGCACGTACAGGGCACGTCGCTCGTTAGACAGCCCAGGAGCTCCCGTTGCCGCCTGGCGCAGACACGTCTGCAGCGTGGGGAAGATGTCGGACCACCACGCATCAGAGTGCTCCTTGTGCACGGGCTTGAGCTCGCGGGTCGGCGGCACGACGTTCTCATTGAGGACGAACCACTCGTCCATGTACTCCATGGCCTTGTTGAGTGCGGCTGAGGTTGGAGTGGACGCAGTTTGCTTGGCTTGTTTGGCCATCTCCTCCTTCAGCAGCTTGAACTCCTCCTCGGGGATCTTGGCTGGAAAAGGGCGGAAGCCGTACTTGTTGCCGAGGATGAGCACGTAGCTGATGCCGCTCGATTCTTGCTGGCACCTCTTGATCTCCCGCATGCAGATCTATGAAACGAGTGAGTGTGGGAGGGGGAGGGATGTGGGGTGGTCAGTGTGCGCGTTGAAGCTCAGAGTGAGAGTGGGAAGGGATTATCGGATTGCAAGCTGTAACCACCTCACACACACACTCATTCACACACACGCAGACACACACGCAGACACACACACACACACACACACATACACACACACAGACACACACACACACAGACACACACACACACACAGACACACACACACACACACACACACACACACACACACACACACACACACACACACCTCGCTGGTTTCGTGGGCGGCAGAGGCCTCAGAACGGATGCCCCAGCGCATCTCGGAGGACTGGTAAACTTGCACACGCAGGCGTTGTCCGAGGGACTTGAGGTACGGATACACGTCCTCGATCAAAGCGTTGCGCTCCACCTCCGTGTCAGTGAATGTGGAGGAGAGAAACAGGCGGATGGCCGGCTGTCGCGTGCCCAGTGTCTGGATCTCGCTGTCGGGAAGTGCGTCGCCTTCCAAAACACGCTTCGATGTCTCAGCTGGTCGCTCACAGGGATCCAGCTTGGCACGCGCAGCATCGGCCAGGCGCTGCTGCCACTGGCCACGTTTTGATCGCGACACACCATCCCACAACACGGGGAGCAATGGCTCTTGTTGTTTGGTGTCAGTGTTCTTGGTTGCAGTGTTTGCACTCGCTGTTGCGTTCCCGCTCGCATTTGCGCGCTCCTCGGCCAGCTCCTCATGCATCGCCAACTTGCTTTGGTGGCAGCCCATCTTTGCTCGTTTGCCTGCTGTGCTGACGGTTGCAGACACAGTGGGGTGTGGCGTGAAGTAAAATGAATGCACGCTGTGTCTGCTGTGTCTGTTTGTTGGCTGTGAGGGCGCAAGTGCGTCCTGTCACCAAGCATGTGCACAGGCCTACAGGCAAACAAACAAAATGCGCTGCACAGCCAAAATGCGTGCAAGCAAGAGCAAGCCAGTGCGCAGTGAGCAGCTTGGCTCGTTAGTAGACTTATTTCAGTCTCACATCACATTAAACTGAAATCAGTTCCACGTTTCTCCAACACACACAACACAAGACACACATGATGGCTGATGGACGGAACACAAAGGGTGCCGTGTGCACCGACAGCAACGGCCTGTGCATCACCTGTACGTGCGCGCAAAGGCGGGAAGCGGCTTTGTGTGTGTATGTGTGTGTGTATGTGTGTGTGTATGTGTGTGTGTGCATGTGTGTGTGTATGTGTGTGTGGTGTGTGTGTGTGTGCGTGTGCGTGTTGAAGGGGATATCGTGGTTTGGCTGCGGCGATTCACGCGAGTGTTGATCGACACACACACACACACACACACACACACACACACACACACACACACACACACACACACACACACACACACTCACTCACTCACTCTCACTCTCTCTCATAGCGTCGGGGGATCTGACAGAGGCTGACGCTGGCAGCCTGCATGCCATTCACACGTTGTCGAGACAACTCTTCGACACGGACCAGCCTGTCGCCGTTTGCATCGATTCAACGACATCACAGTACGCTCGGCCGATCCCACTCGACACGTTTCGTTCTCATGCATGATCACATCTGCGACCACCGCTTGAGATCTGTTGATCAAGTACACACGCACGCACACGCACATACATACATACACAAGACACACGCACGCACGCACGCACACACACAACACACAGGCTCACACGCACACACGCACACACATACACACACATACACGCACACAACACAACACACTCACTCACGCACGCACGCACACACATACACACACATACACGCACACAACACAACACACACACACACACACACACACACACACACACGCACACAACACAACACAACACACGCACTCACGCACGCACGCACGCACGCACGCTCACACTGGCTGCCCATGTTGCGTGCATGCCAAAGGTCAATCTACGTCAGGAAAGTCAACGAAAACGTTGTCGCTGTCAAGAAGGGCTAAGTGACGGCCGTGCTGTAGTCACAAGTGGCCAACACGCGCGTGCCATGACCTCTCCTTCCGTTTTAGTTTGCCAATTCCACCCCATTGACATGACCACAACGACGTGCCTTTTCTGCTCACTCATCAGTTGCTGCTTTTGTCACCTTCATCCCCGTGCCTTCCTCTCTCCCCTTTGGGCCTTTTTCTTCCTTGACTGATACGCGCTGATGCTTCATTCATGGTTGCCAATTACACGATAAACACAATGCGAAGAACAACTCTCACAAGGAACACACAACTGCACACAACTACATCGTGCATGCATGAACACACAGAGACAAGCAAAGCAAATCATACAAAAGGGAATCGCAACTCACACATCAGGCACTCCACGTCACAACACAACAGAGCCACACAAGACAAGGGAAGCAGAGCGGAAAAGGGAGGGGGCCCAGAACAACGGCACGTTGACTGGTGGAGGTGGAAACACTGGCGTCACCCAGACACAAATGGGTTACATCCGCACAGAATGGCCTTGAGAGCAAAGTTGATCAGCGTGCCCAGCAGCAGCCCAACCGTCAGCGACAGCGCCTGCATCACAAGTGTAGTGGTGTGTGTGTGTGTGTGTGTGTGTGTGTGTGTGTGTGTGTGTTATGTGTGTGTGTGTGTGTGAGCGTGTGAGATGATGGGAATACAGAGCAAACGAAACAATACAACAGGAGCATGAACTGCCATGCCACGACAAAGTGACACGACACTGCACTGTGGCTCGTGCATAACGGCACCACTGCAACACCACCACCCACTTCCATCACGACCACAAACGACAACAAACAACTCACCATAAACGCTCCAGCCATCGACTGGTTGTGCTCATCAGCAATCCTGACGCATTGTGTTGTGTTGTGTAATTGGTGAGTGTCACAGTGTTCGCGTGTTCGTGTATGATGTGTGCGGGAGTGTGCACGCAACTCACACACACACACACACACACACAAACAAGCGCACGCACAAACAAGCGCACGCACGCAAACACACACGCAAACAACCTTGAAACATACACACACACACACACACATACGCACGCCATGCGCACAGCACTCACTGTGGTCCGTATTCCATGCACAGGTTGCCAAAGTAGCCGTTGGTAAATGCCATCACCAGCATAAACACAGACGGCCACGCGTCGCTCTTGAACCCAACAGGTATCTTCGACTCCCCCTGTGCGCACCCAACACACACACGCATTACGCATTGCGCACATGCACAAGACAACACCATTGGCACAGGTGAGTTGTGGTCATGGCGAAACACGCACGTGTACACAACCACATGAACACGCACAATTGCACACACAATCCCACACACACACAATCCCACACACACACACAATCACACACACATCTACACACAATCCCACCCCAATGCACGCACACTTACGGTGTCGCTGAGCTGGACGTTGCAGAAGAGAAAGAGGACAATGAAGACAACGCGGGCAAACACGGGGATGCGGAGCTTGCGATAGTTGCGCACTCCAGGCCACTCCCACCACAGCGACAGCGACCGCCCAATCGTGTCGCCGAGGTTGAAGAACACAAAGCACGTCACAGGAACAAAGTACCGCTTCGCCCACAGCGTCTCAGGATCCGCAGTCTGCACTCGGGGAGTCACACGTGTGTGTGTGGTAGCTGGCGGGTGAGCGAGTTTGATGGGTGGTAGATTTGGTCACGCATCACGTTGAGTTCAGAGAACATAAACCACACACACACACACACACACACACACACACACACACACACACACACACACACACACACACACACACATACACACACACACACACGCACGCTCAACGTACGGACTGGATGCGGTCTGTGATGCCAGGGAAGATGGCGAGGGTGATGGCAAACGTCGTCATCACCATGATGGCAGGCAGCTTCGTCTGTGCAGTCACAAGCAAATTCACGCAAAACCATGCTCATCACGTCAGCGACAGGGTGCCTGCAAGCAAACCACAGACCCTCATATCTCCAACAGACATCATTCGCATGTGTGCATCACTACCTGCGCGACGGCGGACTTTGCCAGCGCCCACGTGGACGTGTCGCCCCCAGATGATTGCTACAAGTCAGGCAATCACGCAGTGGGATGTGATGCATTTCAGCACACACATGTGTCAGTCGCTCACAAAACTACCTCGCAGCATGCGGGCAGTGCAGTCGTGCAGGTCATCGGCGTCAAGCACACAACAGCACAACCACGCAATCAAGCCAGCAGCGTTTCCCAAACTCACGATGCTTTCAATTGACTTGAAGAAAGTTGGTGGCAAAGACAGACCGGAGTGGCAATTGAGTGTGGTGCATCACACAGCAGGGCAAGATGTCAGCCAGCGCATCTGCACAAAAACGTTTCCATCCATTGACGCACGCATTTTCTTGCATGCAGGCAGGATTGACAACGCACCTGTCTGCGCACGAGGCGGTTTCGCTTCTCCATCATCTTCACATATCTGGAGTTGATCATGTACAGGAACCCAACTGTCGTGGCACAAGCCAGAAATCAGAGTGAAGAGGAGGGAGCGACACGTAAGCGACCAGACACACACACAGACGGACAGTATGTGTGTGTGTGTGTGATGATGATGATGATGATGATGATGATGATGATGATGATGATGATGATAATGAATTAGAAGCAGCAAGGGGAGGGTGCGAGCACGCGTGCAACACAAGGTGGACTGCATCCCAGACCATGTGGCGCTCTGTACCGATGCAGATGGCGATGAGGCCGACGGCGATGATGAAGAAGATGAAGGCTGCGTTCTCCGCGTTGTTCTTCTTCCCGCCAACTGCAAGCGTCAGCACATTCAGCAGCGACACAATCAGCCCGCCAAGCCCTTGCCCCGTCATCTGCGCCTGCGTGTACTTGCTGCGCATCACAGCAGCAAGGCTGAAGAACCCGCCCTGCAGAAACGCAGTCGCCCCTGTTGCCCAACAAAACACGCAACGTGCAGGTGTGACGCGAGGTCGAGTGATGTGTTGCGAGTGATGTGAGGGTGATGAAGGGGAGTGGTGTGAGCGATGCTGCAAAGCAACGGTGCACACACTCATGGCATGGCGCGTACAGTGAGCACACGCTCATTTCCCACATACCTCCAGCAAAGATGACAAGCACAAGCGTCACCCCAAAGAACGTGTTGGGTGCCATGTCAACCTACAAGCGTCCCAACAACACCAACACCAAGCAACGTGGTCATGTCAGTAGTGTGTTGAGCGGAAGTCAAAGAGAGGGAGGCGAAGAGGAACACATGATTAAGCTTGCACGCTTGCGCACATGGGTTCACACACACACACACACACACACACTGACCTTGACAAAGACTGTCATGAGCGCAAACACAACAAGCTGCACACAGAGCGGAATCAGGATCCGCGTGCGCGTCTTGAACTTGTTGCCATACAGCACATCCACAATTAGGAACAGGATGTTGAACAGCTGGAACGTGAACGAGAAGTAGTTCTCAAAGTTCGACTGCAATCCGCCCATGTGCGCATGTGTGTGTGTGTGTGTGTGTGTGTGTGTGTGTGTTGTGTGTGTGTGTGTGTGTGTGTGTGTGTGTAAGTTGGATCAAGACGGGATCGGCTATCGTGTGAGAACTGTTTGATGATCAACAATGCTGCATCATGTGTGCTCTGCACGTGATGTCACCACAAACATGCACACACACAAACACACATACACACACACACATACACACACACACACACAGACCTCAAAATGGGAGCCGTCGAGCTTGGTTGAGAAGTACTCGGTGACAGTGATGAACGCGTTCCACGGAAACAAGACGCCCACACCCTCCAGCAGCATCAGAGCCCACAGCAACATGTTACTGTATCAGACACAAGTGCAACAGCAGACAACCAACAGCGTGCGTGTGACAAACACGGTGAGATGCCAACGAAGGACACGGGTTCCACCCACAAGTGCTGCGATCAGATCGCACCCCACACATGCATCCAACTGCACCCAAACCAGCATCACCTCACACCCCGATTGCAAAGTACAGCAGTGCGACACATCCACTAACGACCAGTACGTACAAGTCCCCGCGATCCGACTTTGGGGCCGGCACCAGTGGCGCCCGCACAGAAGTTTCCTCGTCCATGTCACTGCTGGTGGTGTCGTCGTCGCCGTCGCCCTCGTCGATGGCTTGCTGGCGTCCGATGCGGCCAAGGCGGGGTCGTCGCGGCTTGCAGCACGGCAGAAATGGCATGCACGGCGCTGTGACGTTATTGCACAAGCACGAGCGCTCACACGTCCAAGCACACTCACGTGTCCGATGATGTGATGTGCGATGACGATGACGTCGCAGTCTGGAGGGGAGTGGTGGTGGTGTGATAATGCGGGGTGTTGATTGGAAGGACGGCGCACAACACAAGCCAAAGAAATTTTGCTTGCAAGCAATCTCTGATGTGTGTGTGTGTGTGTGTGTGTGTGTGTGTGTGTTTTGTGCTCTGTTACATTACTGTGTGCGCTGTCACCTTGTGTGTTGACTGTGTGCGCTGTCACTTTATGCACGTTGGTGTCTCCCCCTCACATCCCCTCCTACCCAGCCCTCCCTTAGCCCCTTCATTTTGTTTACTGGAACGAGAGGAAGAGTGGTTGCCCTTTCAAGCAAGAGGTGAGATGATGATAGCCGCGCTAAGCTGGCCCAGCCCCTGCTGCCGAAGAGACGACGCAGGACATGGCACGAAAACAGTCAAAGGGAACATGCCACAACCACATCACAACGCCACTGTTACGTTACACGCGACACACAACAAACGCTTGCTTGCAAGCGCGCCATCACAAGAAGGGTCATATCCACAGTCATCAATCACTAACAAAGAGCACTCAATCACAATACATAGAAGCTTGCTTGCCATGCTTCTCAAACAACAAGGACCAACGTGGGAGTGTGTGTGTGTGTATGTATGTGTGATGGGAGGTGGTGTGTGCGCGCGAAACTGCTGTTACCCGGACACAAATGGGTTGCATCCGCACAGAATGGCCTTGAGAGCAAAGTTGATCAACGTGCCCAGCAGCAAGCCAACCGTCAGCGACAGCGCCTGCATCACAAGTGTAGTGGTGTGTGTGTGTGTGTGTGTGTGTGTGTGTGTGTGTGTGTTATGTGTGTGTGTGTGTGTGAGCGTGTGAGATGATGGGAATACAGAGCAAACGAAACAATACAACAGGAGCATGAACTGCCATGCCACGACAAAGTGACACGACACTGCACTGTGGCTCGTGCATAACGGCACCACTGCAACACCACCACCCACTTCCATCACGACCACAAACGACAACAAACAACTCACCATAAACGCTCCAGCCATCGACTGGTTGTGCTCATCAGCAATCCTGACGCATTGTGTTGTGTTGTGTAATTGGTGAGTGTCACAGTGTTCGCGTGTTCGTGTATGATGTGTGCGGGAGTGTGCACGCAACTCACACACACACACACACACACACACACAAACAAGCGCACGCACAAACAAGCGCACGCACGCAAACACACACGCAAACAACCTTGAAACATACACACACACACACACACATACGCACGCCATGCGCACAGCACTCACTGTGGTCCGTATTCCATGCACAGGTTGCCAAAGTAGCCGTTGGTAAATGCCATCACCAGCATAAACACAGACGGCCACGCGTCGCTCTTGAACCCAACAGGTATCTTCGACTCCCCCTGTGCGCACCCAACACACACACGCATTACGCATTGCGCACATGCACAAGACAACACCATTGGCACAGGTGAGTTGTGGTCATGGCGAAACACGCACGTGTACACAACCACATGAACACGCACAATTGCACACACAATCCCACACACACACAATCCCACACACACACACAATCACACACACATCTACACACAATCCCACCCCAATGCACGCACACTTACGGTGTCGCTGAGCTGGACGTTGCAGAAGAGAAAGAGGACAATGAAGACAACGCGGGCAAACACGGGGATGCGGAGCTTGCGATAGTTGCGCACTCCAGGCCACTCCCACCACAGCGACAGCGACCGCCCAATCGTGTCGCCGAGGTTGAAGAACACAAAGCACGTCACAGGAACAAAGTACCGCTTCGCCCACAGCGTCTCAGGATCCGCAGTCTGCACTCGGGGAGTCACACGTGTGTGTGTGGTAGCTGGCGGGTGAGCGAGTTTGATGGGTGGTAGATTTGGTCACGCATCAAGTTGAGTTCAGAGAACATAAACCACACACACACACACACACACACACACACACACACACACACACACACACACACATACACACACACACACACGCACGCTCAACGTACGGACTGGATGCGGTCTGTGATGCCAGGGAAGATGGCGAGGGTGATGGCAAACGTCGTCATCACCATGATGGCAGGCAGCTTCGTCTGTGCAGTCACAAGCAAATTCACACAAAACCATGCTCATCACGTCAGCGACAGGGTGCCTGCAAGCAAACCACAGACCCTCATATCTCCAACAGACATCATTCGCATGTGTGCATCACTACCTGCGCGACGGCGGACTTTGCCATCGCCCACGTGGACGTGTCGCCTCCGAGGGATTGCTGGATGGTGCACACACACCAGAGAGCGCGCATATGGACAAACCATTGGGTGCACACAAGCACGTGTTCAAACAACACATCGACGTGAGCAACCAGGCCATCAGAGAGCCAGGGGAATGACATGCATAACCGCACAGGCCAGGCATTCCATTCCAGCAACAATTTCAGCAAATCGCTCTCTCTCTCTCTCTCGCATACACACAACACACACACACACACACACACACACACACACACACACACACACACACACACACACACAGCTCTCTCTGTTCCTCGGCTCACTCGTGCGTTCATACTCACAATACTCGCGATGGACTGAGGCGCACGTGTTCACCATGAGAGAGAATAGCGGCGACGATGACGACAGCATGTGATGTTGCGACGCCAAAGACAAGCCATGGTGAGATCGTGATGGTGAGATTGTGATCCACCAAACTCAAGTCCAAACACACACACACACACGCACACACACATACACACATGCACACACACACACACACATGCACGCACACACGCACCTCTTGTCGAATGAGGTGGTTTCTGCGCAGCATCAGCTTCACATATGGATGGTTGACCATGTACAAAAAACCGGCTATCAACGCAACAATGGATGTGTTCCAAGGCAAATGTGATCATGGGAACGAGAGGAACATTTGCACGTACGCGTGGGTGTGTGAGCGTGTGTGCATGAGCGTGTGAATGTATTTGCGTGTGGTATTGTGGTCATTTGAGCCACATTGTGTCTGCGGGAGTGTGTGCACGACTGCACGAGTACGACTGCAACCTCACCGATGCAGATGGCGATGAGGCCGACGGCGATGATGAAGAAGATGAAGGCCGCGTTCTCCGCGTTGTTCTTCTTCCCGCCAACTGCAAGTGTCAGCACATTCAGCAGCGACACAATCAGCCCGCCAAGTCCTTGCCCCGTCATCTGCGCCTGCGTGTACTTGCTGCGCATCACAGCAGCAAGGCTGAAGAACCCGCCCTGCAAAAACGCAGTCGCCCCTGTTGCCCAACAAAACAGCAACATGCAGGTGTGACGCGAGGTCGAGTGATGTGTTGCGAGTGATATGTTGCGAGTGATGTGTTGCGAGTAATGTGTTGCAAGTGATGTGTTGCGAGTGGTGTGTTGCAAGTGATGTGAGGGTGATGAAGGGGAGTGGTGTGAGCGATGCTGCAAAGAAGCGGTGCACACACTCATGGCACGGCACGTACAGTGAGCACACGCTCATTTCCCACATACCTCCAGCAAAGATGACAAGCACAAGCGTCACCCCAAAGAACGTGTTGGGTGCCATGTCAACCTACAAGCGTCCCAACAACACCAAGCAACGTGGTCATGTCAGTAGTGCTTTGAGTGGAAGTCAAACAGAGGGAGGCGAAGAGGAACACATGATTAAGCTTGCACGCTTGCGCACATAGGTTCACACGCACACACACACACACGTACACGCACACACACACACGTACACACACACGTACACACACACACGTACACACACACACACACACGTACACACGCACACTGACCTTGACAAAGACTGTCATGAGCGCAAACACAACAAGCTGCACACAGAGCGGAATCAGGATCCGCGTGCGCGTCTTGAACTTGTTGCCATACAGCACATCCACAATTAGGAACAGGATGTTGAACAGCTGGAACGTGAACGAGAAGTAGTTCTCAAAGTTCGACTGCAATCCGCCCATGTGCGCATGTGCGCGCATGTGTGTGTGTGTGAATGTATGTAAGTTGGATCAAGACGGGATCGGCTATCGTGTGAGAACTGTTTGATGATCAACAATGCTGCATCGTGTGTGCTCTGCACGTGATGTCACCACACACACACACACACACACACACACACACACACACACACACACGCACACATACACACACACACACACAGACCTCAAAATGGGAGCCGTCGAGCTTGGTTGAGAAGTACTCGGTGACAGTGATGAACGCGTTCCACGGAAACAAGACGCCCACACCCTCCAGCAGCATCAGAGCCCACAGCAAGGGTTGGCTGTGCCACCACATACAGTGTCATGGAGCACTTGGGTGAGCGATGCACATCATGTCACATCGCATCATCGCTCCATGCTGATCCTTGCCTCACCAATCCCCCACAATCTCTAAACAAAAGCAAACAACCAATCCAAACAAACAACCCCACTGCCATGTCTCGCTGTTTTTGATGAGCCCTTCCCCCCCCCCCCCCCCGTTTCCCTCCTCCATATCACACCACGGCGCACTCACAATTCGCCCTGCTCCGCCGGCGCCAACAGCAGCGGCGTGTCATCGCGCATCTTGCTTGCTCCTCTTCGTCCTTTCCGTTGCCACCTTGCTCATGTGCGCCCAAAGCAACGCCACCGCACGTCCCGCAGCCTTCGGTGCGTTGTTGCCCTTCGCGCTTCAAGAAAAGATTCGATGCTGAATTAATGGTCAACTTGCCGCTTGAGTGTTTGTTTCACGCCCAATTTTCTTTCCTATTGTTTCCCTTCGAATCTTTATGCATAATTTTTTAATGTGCTCGCACGCTCCATCCAATCATCCTCGCTCAAGTGAGTGCAGAGCGGTGCTGTGATGGATTGTTGTGCTTGACTGTGGATGCATTGATGTGCTTGTTGGTTGGTGGGTGGTGTTGGAGTGGTCCGTGTCTCGTGCGCGTGAGAATGTGAGAGGGTTGGCACACTGGCATCTGCTTCATCTTTTCTTCACACACACACACACACACTCACTGCTGTGGAAATCGAAACCCATGTCATGTCATGTCACTCGTCACACCACATGCAAACTCACGTCGCCCCTTCTTGTGATCGTTTTGCCCAGTACCCTCACGGACCCTGAACATCGTTGCTGACCTGGTGTGTGTGTGTGTGTGTTGTGATCGAAAGCGCCGACCAACCGCCAAGATGCTGGCCGCGTCAACTTCTCACCAGCGACTGAAATGTATGCACCCCCAGCTGCTCACTGCCGTGATGTGATGCCCGTTCGTTCTCGCGACCGCTTCCAACGTTCACTGTTCCTACCCCCCCTCTCTCCACTGTCACCTGTGATCCCGCTCGTGCACTCACGCCATGCCACGCTCGCACGCATACACGCCGCAGTGTTCATGTCGACAATCTACAATCTCCGCTTTGAGCTGCTGACCCTGATCCTGTACAACATTTTGGTGTACTTTCTCCTGAAGTACGACATCATCTCTACCAAACCGGAGGGCGACTTTCTTTCCATGCTTGGCGTCTCCCTCACCTTCTTCCAGACCTTTGGCAACAACCAGGTGTGTTCGTATGTGTGTGCGTACCTGTTTGCTTGTGTGTGTGTTGTGCGTGCGTACTTGTGTGTGTGTACGTATCTGTTTGCTTGTGTGTGTGTGTGTGTGTGTGATTGTATGTGTTTCCGTATGTGTTGTATGCGCGCGCTTATTCCACGCTTCTTTCGCGCCCGCGCTTGCTGTTCTCCCAACTGTGTTTGCTTACCTTCACATCCAACACGCTTGTGTCTACCCCCTCTTCTCCCCTCCACCCACACCTTCCACAACCCACTCCTCCCGCCCCAACAACACCCCGCGCCACGCAGGCGTACTCGCGCTGGTGGGAGGCCCGCATGCTGTGGGGTGGCATTGTGAACCTGTCACGTACCGTGCCCACCTACCTCGAAGGCGTGGAGGACCCCGGCAAGAAGCTCACGCGCGAGCAGAAGCTCGACATTGTGCAGCGCCACATTGCGTACATCCGCCTTGTTGTGCACCAGCTCCGCCGCGAGCAAGTCCCCGGCACCGCGGGCCGCTATCTCCAGAACGACGAGATGCAGCTGATGCACCTGCCAAACCCGGCCGTCGGCCTCCTGAGCGTGCAGTCCCGCGCCATCAACAAGCTCTACCGGGATGGGCTCATTGACTCGTACGCGCGCATCCACCTCCTCCGCCTCACGGGCACGTGCTTGGATCTGCAGGGCGCGT